AGAATTAGTTTGTGGAACACTTGCAGTTTGTAATATACATAAAGGATCCAAGTATGGTACTAATGGCCTTATTAGTAATTAATGGCCCTGTTAGAAATTAATCACTGAGACAAATCATGAAATTAACAAGTCTCTGCATTTACCCATGCATTAATAGTTGTTTAGCTTAAAAGTCATCTGTCTGAATCAGTATACATCCCTGCCAGGGCATTTTTACCATGGTTTAAAACTGATTTTGCTAACTTAAAGGGTCTGTTTGTGCAAAACCAGTCTAAATCATGTTTAAATCTTAGCATTCTCTTTGGAAAAGCTGTGTGTGTTTCAGTAAGTCAATACGAAATTATGCTCTTCCTTATGCATGAGGTCTGATTTGTCCAGTTTTGGTTTTGTCCAGAAAAATCTCAACAGAACTATTTTCCTTTTGAAGGTAACAAGCCCCCAGCAATGTTGCCAAAGCGTGCAGAATACCTGCTGCAGGATGTGAAAAGGATGGCAAAATACTACCAAGTGCCTGTACACATTTCAGGAGATGACTTCAAACGTATACTTGGTACAGGTAAGTTAGAGTCTTAGCTTAGTTGGCATCTTTCAACTGTCAGCACTTCTGGTTCAGGCTCTTCCTAACAGTAAAGATGAATTCCTTGTCCACAGCCTCTTCCTGTATCTGTGAGCAGTGATTTGTAACCATAAGTTTATGGATAAATATGGTTATGAATAATATTAGCATGGAATATACTGTGAAACAACATAACCTTTACTGGGTGGGGACTGTTACAGAGAAAATCATAACTGCTCTTGGGTAGTACTTCTGCAGGCCGTTATCTATTGCTGATCTTGTGCCTTCAGTATGTTTCTTTGTCTCCCCACTAATCCCAGGCACTCTTGGAGCCATGCGCTTTATCACAGCCATTGATATGACACAACCACAATATGTGGAATCCTTATCTAGGGAGTTCTGGCTACGTTTTTGGTCACAGGTCAGTGTTTTATGAAGCCAACTTCCTGATCCATTCTCTGTCACCCTTCCCATCCCACTTTGTTCAAATGTGGAATTTGAGTAAGAGAAAGGAAATGTCTTTTAATGCAGTCAGGAAACTTGAAGTCCAGAGCTAAACTTTTGTTCTTAAGTACTGAATTACGTGTTTTATTCTTTTACCAGCGTGAAGATATCAGTCAGCCAGCAAGTATATTGGCTGTAAGTGTCTCCTTTTTGTTGGTGCTTCTGCGTCTCAGGTACAGATTCTTACTGGTGCTTGGATCAGTAATAGACATGAAGACAGCTTAGTCAAATGATCACTTGAGAAACTTCAGCTAGAAAAAAGTGGATTTCATTTCCTAGCAGCTCTGTTTGGAACGATTGGGTGGAGGGTCAGGCTTTGAATGACACACAGAACCACTGCTTGGTGGTCTGTGAGCATCCCTCTATGTTCAGCAACGCATGAACAAGGTAAGCATCTTGTTTGCTCATGTCAGTCTCCAATCACCCTTGCAGCAAGTACTAGACTTTGGTTCTGGAAATACAGCATTCAGAGGTGGGTGAAGCATCCCAACCCTTTCATCCAAGTCTGTATAGGTGAATTTATTTTACACATCAATTAGAAAAATGAAATGTTGTTTATTTTTACCATATTTATAGATGGTGTGTTTATAGACGGTATATTTATAAATGGTATATTTATAAACCATATTTGTGTGTTTCCTCAGTGTTTTTCACTTCTTTCTTTACTCAGCAGTAACTTCACATAAATTAGAATGTACAGTCTTTGAATCCTGCCCCAATCCACTTAAATACCCCTTCAGCCCTAAAATGGTGAGGACCAAATACTACATCTCTTTGTAAATGTTACAGTCTAAACACCGGGGCTGGAATTTGTTCTATTCCAGTGCTATACTTGTCTATTTCCTATTCAAGCAGAGTGAAAAAGAGCTGCTAATCTCCATGGGGAAGTAGGAGAAGGGAGAAGAAAATGTGGATGCTAAACAGAAAAGTGATGAAGAGAAAGAAATTCAAAGCCATTAACACCTGCATGTGCAATACTGTTAGCATTTATGTCACTCAGGTAGACAGCAGGAAGTTAACATTCATTTGTGGAATACTTGATTAAAATAGGTACTTGTAACTTCAAAGTTACCCAGTAAACACTGAACCTTTGCCTTTGGCCGCTTTATCTCATTCCTGTGTGGCAGAGGCACAGGGGAGGTTAAAAAGATACAGCAAGAATGCTAGCAACTCTTTAACCTCTGTGAGTTACGGTTGTATTTCATGCAGTATCACATGCAGATCCTATATAGCCGTACATTTTGTCTTGGCAGGCTTGTACAGTAAGATTTTCAGAAGAACACTTGTTTTTTATTATCTGATAAGTCATCAGATCAGAGGTTAAACTTTTTGTCCCTGTTTGGTAATTCCTGAAAGAAGGTGCAGCTTTGGGCTTGGAAGTTTAGAATAGCCCTACTGCTTTCTATCTAAGAGTTCATCAGTGAAGAATGAGTTGGGAACAGAGCAAGACAGTTGCACAGGAAGTACTTCAAGGGTATTTTGTAATGTTTCTGGTAATAGACCTTGGGTGACAATACTGAAGATTAAACTAACCAGACCATAGTAGGAGTTGGAACATTTAGTATGAGAATACTCTTAATTCTGTCATGTTTTCTCAGGCTGCCAAACAGGCTGGGCTATCTTCAGAGCTTGCCCAGAAAACACTTGAAATGATTTCATCCCCTGCAGTGAAGAACCGACTGAAAGAGACAACAGAGGAAGCAGTAAGATACGGGGTGAGATGCTTCCAATGCCAGCTGGCATCACAGCTGTGCATTCCTTTCCTATTAAGAATACTGGGAAGCAAGGAACAGTGAAGGTGATGATTAGAAAGCAGTATATAGACCATTGCCCTTAAGTGGTCTTTGCTTTTTTTTTTTGACCATGTGAAAGCTAACTCACTGTCATTGGTAATTTTTCTCATTGTCATCTGCAAAACCAAGGTTGAGCCATCCAGCTCATTCCAGCTGGACAGCAAGGATGGGGAGCTATAGGACCAGCACTAGGAGATACCATTTATTGCTACTTGACATAAAACTGTGGATTTGTCAGGCTGAGGTTTTTTGGTGGTGGTTTTCTTTTGCTCCTTCAAAAGGGGCACACAGGCTCTGGAGAGTCATCTTCTTTGTGATGGCTCCAATTAGGCTCATCTTTAAGAATGAAGAAGGTGAAAAGAAGGGGAAGCAAAATAAGTCAGTCATTGCTTTTTATTCCAGAGGCTTGATGATGTGTCTGCAAAACTTTCTGTCATTGTAACATTCTCTGTTTCATCTCCATGGTGTGAATAGGCATTTGGGATGCCTGCTGTTGTGGCACATTTTAATGGGGAACCTCATCTCTTTTTTGGCTCTGATCGTTTAGAGCTGCTAGGCAGTGTTATAGGTGAGTGTACCTTATAACATCAGTTTAATGTTTTCACCCTCTTTTAGTGAAGTAATACAGCTAAACAAAGCACTCTTAAGGTCTTTCAAATATTAAATAATGTTGGGTGTCCTTCTCATGGGATGAAACTGCTGACTGGAATGTATCTCAGTACAGTTAAGAGTGAACAAAGATGTAATCCTTTTCCAAATAAGAAGTTATTCGAATCCTCCATCCTCTCTCTGTATGTTTCAAGGCTTTCTGCTCCACATGCCATTCTCAAATTACTACCAAACCTCTTTAATTTTCAGATGTTCATATCTAACCTTTCAGTACTGGGCTAAGATTAAGACTATGGCTGACACTTAATGTTCCTTCTTAATAGAAGAACGTTACCACAGCTTCCTGGTCCATAATTTATAATCCCATAACTACACAACTTTCAAACAGATATTCCTATACTGACCATCTTTCTTTTCTTTTTTTCTATGCAAACTTCGGGTTTTTAAAGGTAACTGGCATAGGTTGTGATTAATAAAACTCAGTCACCTGCTTTTACATGAGTTAGAACACATTTGGATTTTGATCTCAAAACTTTTCACTTGAAAGGGTTTGTCACCAGAAAGAGTTATGCATATAAATTAGCTGTGATGCGTTTGGTTCAAGTCATAGGCTTAAACAGAAGGGAAGTTTTTCTATAATCCTATAAAAATACTCTTGTTGTAAAGGAGAGAGAGGAAGATGAATACCCAACACCCTCTACAGTAGTCACTAACCCTAATTGGAATGTTGTGGCCTGGTATCTGGCCTCAACTCTGAGGATTTCAACAGATTTTCCTTTTGTTTCTCTGACTCCCCAGCCTTCCACCCTTATTCTCTTCTTTACCCCCAGCCCCTCATAAACGGGAGTCCCTCATGCAGAGTGCCCCAGACATGCAAAAATCTGTGTGACAGAGGATAATAGTTCTCCTGTACAGCTTCAGTTGTGACTAGACAGTGACAGATGTATGGAGCTGGCTGAAGCGTGCCAGACAGGATACAAATCTGCATTTCATCAGCAGTAGATACCCTTCAGAAGAGAAGCAGGAACAGTCATCCTAGTGCAGAAATGTGACTGACCGATCACATAACATGCATTTAACTTTCTTTTTTCATGCTGGTTTGTCTTGCAGGTGAAAAATGGCTGGGACCAGTTCCAAGCCCAAAGATGTGAAAAGTCCTGGGGAAACATATAAGAATTAAAATGTATCTGTACATGGTCAGTCCTCAGTGATTATGTGAACGTATCCAATTTTATGGAGAGATGGCTTTCTCATCCTTCACAGCTAACTTTATAGCTCATTCTGTTCTCTAATTATGATGAATTTCAAGGTTTGCCAGTATGGTGAGGTCTTTGCTAATGAAAATGTGCTTATTTTCTTTCAATAGCTTAATGATTAACATTAAAGATTAAACATTTAACTTACTGGTGATTAAACGTTTTTTCTTTCCTAATCTTTCTCCTACCCAAAAAGCACAGGGATTAAATTGTTATGGGACTGTGATCTCTGGATTTCACATACCTTCCTGCTTGTCCTTTATAAACACACATACACACAGCTTAAGAGAAGTTGGCCACATTCTCCTTTTATTTTAAGTCCAAGGTACTACATAGACACTAGAAGCACAGGACGAGGTATTCACACTTGCCTTTTACTCTGCAGCGTGGCAGTTAAGGGGACACAAGAGAGAAGAGTGGAAGGAAGACACAGGGACAATTCAAGCCCAGTGAAAAATCTAGGGAACCAGTCAAGTATCTCAGAAGGAACTGTGCCCCTCCTGGACAGTATTTTATATACCTTGCTCTGTGGTGACTGACATTTGAGAAGACCATCATACAAATGCTTTCTTGGGAACTAACCCCAGACCCTGCAGGGGTCTTAAATTAATGCTGTTCTTACAGTAATGTCTTTGGAGGACAGTGGTACATACCCTGTGAATTTAACTGGTAACTGAACCAGACTGTGTTTTGCTTCCTCAAGGGTGCTCTAATTGCTGACCATGCAAAGGTGGTTTGGATATGGCTACGTATGACTTCCCATCATATATTCTGCAGAGATAAAGACAGGCAACGAATAACATTTAAGAAATTTCACACTGAAATAGTTTGAACCTGGCCCTATATTGGCTGCATTGGAATGACACATTTGAATATTGATTTCTCAGTGATTCCTGGCTGTCTCAGACACACCACTGAAGGAAGCAGAAGAACTAGAAGCAGCTGGAATTCCGTTTTTTGTTGCTTTCTGAAATTTAAGTAAAGCGCGTTCACATTTGTTCACGTAAACAGCAAAGCCTGGAGCAAAGCATCAGGAAAAAGAAACCTGTATCCTTCATGTTCTTACACCTGTAAGTGTTGTGGTAGTATCGTGTTCCCCCACAATTTTTCCTTCTTGCACCTCTTTCAGCTCTTCAGGAAATATCCTGTCAGTTGAGAACTTCTTCCTCCTTTCCACCAGTGCACCCACTAGTCTTTGGGCAAATCCTGCCTGGAATTTAAGGAGATCTTTGTGAGATATAAAAGGCTACATTCCTTTAGGAGTCAGAATGATAAAGAAGTTATGTAGGTGGATGTCACAGGTTTCTTTCAGTCCCTTGAAGCCACATTGAAGAAATTTACCATTTCCCCCTTTGAAATTTGCTGGTCTCCAACCTGTGCTACCAAACTGATTCTGAGGTTGTGATAAAAATGGAAGGACTGAAACATTACTTTAGGCAAAGTCACCCCATTGGCCCAGGGCCACTGCCAGAAGAAATTCTGTCTCGGAAGTGGGTGAAATGTATTTTTTGTGGAGGTAACAAGCTCTGGTAGGAAGGTGGGAGGAATGCAAGGAACATCTTGAAGTCATTTCATGGTGAAAGCCAGGGTTTCATGAAACTTTGTCCTTTCAACCAGCTTGACTGAAAAAAAACCCAGCCTTTGTGACAGAACATTGTTGATTGGCAGATGGACCAAATGAAATGGATCTTACAGACTACTATATATTTAAACCTCATAGCGGTCTTCCAGTATCTGAAGAGGGCCTGTAAGGATGCTGGGGAGGGACTCTGCATTAGGAACTGTAGTGATAGGGCAAGGGGTAACGGGTTCAAACTTAAACAGGGGAAGTTTAGGTTGGATATAAGGAGGAAGTTCTTTACTGTAAGGGTGGTGAGGCACTGGAATGGGTTGCCCAGGAAAGCTGTGAATGCTCCATCCCTGGTGGTGTTCAAGGCCAGGTTGGACAGAGCCTTGGGTGACGTGGTTTAGTGTGAGGTGTCCCTGCCCATGGCAGGGGGTTGGAACTTGATGATCTTAAGGTCCTTTCCAACCCTAACTATTCTGTGATTCTGTGATTTCCCAGAATGATTTTAAAGGCCCTTAGACCTACCTGAAATCAGTGGAAAGGAACTGCTCAATACCATAGGTACTAAAATAGTACTTAAACAATAGTGAGGTAAGGAAGATTCAAACTCGGGCTTTTCCTTACATTGTTTATTGCCTGTCCCACTAACGCTAGGCTGAAAGCAAACAAGCAAACGTAGAGTAGGCAGAAAGTCACAAAATGAGCAAAAGAAAGTGGTTCTGTGTATAATGAAACCACAGGAAGCAGAAGATATGTGCAAAGAAAGCTAGACTGCATCTGAGCAAAGGAAAACGGACAATGAAAGAAGAAAAGGAAAAGAGATTAAGGCAGAGAGGTGTCTCAATGCAAAATGCTGTCTCTAACAGGGAGCAGGCAACCAAGAAGGGCAGAGCTTAGGTGGATTAAACAGGCCAGAGTTGGCTGGCCATGGAAGAGACTTTGGGGAAGGTTTTCTGTGTGGCTGCACAGTATTTGCTCTGCTCTTTCTGTGAGGTCAGAGGCAGCCCAAGGGCCTGCCTCCATCCTGAACCATGGGCTTGCAGCACTTCTCCATGTCCATTACCTGTGCTCCTCACCCAGTGTGCACCAACACCGTCCTCCAGCGCTGACCTCACACGCAGCACAAAATGGAAGCCTGCAGAACAAGGCAGTTCTTTAACCTTCCTCTGCAATCATCTTCTTGTCCTTTCAACCCTCAGCAAAGCAAAGCCTCCTAAATCAGGTTTCTCTCCTTTCTCCCATCCTTACCTCTGTGCAAGTGAGAAGGAAATGTTTTATTAAAGCACTTACTGGATTATGGTGATGAGCATCTGCTTTACTGTCTCTTCCTTTTCCAGTGGAGCCAGCAACACTGCTGGAAGGAAGCAGCCTGCTTCCTAGAAGGGAACCAAGCACAGAACAATAAATAATCAAGAGAGGATCCAGGAGGTGCACACATAGTTAGTTTTACCCAAAATTTCCACAGATCTGTGGATTATGCACATGTAGGAGTGAAAGGAATGTATCTACATCTAACTTGACTGATGTTACCTTGACCTACTCATCATTTCAGTTTGCAGCACAAGGAAAATTACTACTTGGCTTTCATATTATTAAAAAGAGAAATAGAAACCACTGGCCGTTGAAGTCCGTGTTTCAGTGCCGTAGCTGTTCTGGCTCTAGCTTCTTACCTAAATAAGCTATATCTAATGAGTAATGAAGGCATTATCCACCTCCCAAATGTTTCCACCAGACCCCATTTTCAGTTTGTGCAACACAAAAATCAGTTTAAACTAATACAGCAGGTTCCAGCAGTTTACAGTGTCATGCAGTCAGGCTAAGAAATGCCAGTGAATACATCTGTGTCCTTACCCTTACAAATACACTTCAGGAAGCAGTGTCTAATCATTCTGTGTTTCCCCTCCTTCCTTCCCACGTTTGATCTCAGGGTTTAAGGAATTTGCCTATCACCACGTATTAACATCATGGCAAAACCAGGGATGAAATGCTTTGCAAAATTCACACACGTAAACCATAGTTCTGCTTTCATCTATTCACCATACACATTTCACAAGAAATGAGTATGGTGTCTTTTAATGTAACAGCCCTCTTTCTTACACCAGCCTAATTTATCGGTAGGTAACCCTCCATCCTATGCACTAAGGATGGTTTACAATTATTAAATATAATCATTTCATAAACAGTAGAGTTTCTGGCATTTAATGCATAGCTGTATTGCAACTGTAAATGTGTTGTAACTATTTGCTTTGAATCAGAGGAAGACGGAGAGTTCAAACTAAGGAGTTGGTGTCAGTGTGGCAGAAGGAGCAGATGAGTTACTTTGCTGCATACCCATACACTGCTCCATCAGGTGGGTTAAGAAAGCTGTAAAATTCAGCTAATGAGGGATTTCTGCAATAAGATGGCAAGCCAAGATGTTCTTCACAGGAACATTTGTTCTTTTTGACCTGTACATGATCGTATCAGTATTTGCTAGGGAATGGATGAGATGCAACTGTGTTACAGCAGTTTCTCAAAGATGGACTATTCCCTTTCCCAGTTTCGTGATGTAATTTAAAACTCTGTCATTTAAAACCAAAACTGGTACATCACTGTCATTTGTTGCTAAGCAGTGGCTTTAAACAACAGGAATTTGTAATACCAGGGTTCTTCTCCATTTTGTGTATAACCCAGCTCCAGTACTTTGAGATTTAATTATGATATATGTTTGTAGGTAGTGACTAATAGTCAAAGTAACTTACAAACACATTTAAAACAACTGTGCATATTAACTAATCCAGAAGTGTCTTAAAGAAAGTGTTAAGGTGGGTTATAGCTGAATTTATACTCTGGCCTTGAGGCCAAGGGATAGGCCACCTCTGCCTCACGTGATACACGGTGGCACATGAGACATGTTGGTGCTTTAAAGCAACTCAGAAAACAGCAGTTTTGGCAGCAGCAGTTCTCTATGTCTTTATCTAGCACTTTTCTACTGGAGAGTACATTGAGCCAGCAGCTTTTTCCCTAGGTGGCAAGCTGGGAGCGCAGAGCAGGCTGGGACCTGTCCTATCAATCTTACACTTGGATCTCAATCTGAACTTTCATAGCTCAGCTACAGCTCAAGCATCCAGTGGGATTTTCTGTTTAACAAAGAATGCAGGAAGAAAACTGTTGAACAAGTGTGTAGAGGGGCAAAAGGAGAGAGAACAGCAGCCACTATAATAAAAGTTTATAGTGGATCAGTTCCACCTGGCCTTACATGACACCGGTAGATGGGAGTAGTAAATGGATTTGTGAAAAGATCACACATGGATTAAACTATGGGCCAGGCATACAGCACTCTTAAACATAGCACTGCATTATGTCTGATTGGGAGTGCTCTTGGAAAAAATGGAGGGCAAGGGGAATTGCAGTTACCCAAAAGGTCAAAAGGAATGTGAAATCTTTTACTTGTTGACAATAACCTCAAGCAGAACAAATCAGTTTGCTTTTACACTTATTTTCTGCTCCTGTTAGTATTTCTCATGACAAGTAAGCACAACCTAGTAGTTCACTTTTGATGGGGAACTATCACACCTGCCACTAAGACTACAGGCATGAATGTAGCTCAAACGTTTGTGAGGGGGGCTGTGGCCTCCTCAAGACAGTCCCAGACCTGTGGAAATGGCAGGCTGCACAGTGCCACGGTGATACGGTGAAAATCCTCATGCCACCAGGCACAAAGGAGATACTGCCTTTATGGTGTCATTTTCAGACCCTTTCAAAGAGGCACAGTTTCATCATGTTGGACCTCCTGGCTTTATAGTGTTTATTTATCACTCTGAGCTGATGACACTAAACTTGAAAGCCTTGAACACAAGGATCTACAGAAGCTCATTCCCAGCTTCTGGCTCTTAATAGCAGCTCATTCGCTCTCTCCTGCTGTGAAGGTTCCCTACATGCTCCTTTTCCATATCACCACATTTAACACCATTATGTCTTTCCCTCAGGACAGGCAGGCCCTGCATGCAGCACACTACTTCCTAATTCTAGCATAACGCATGGCTCTCTTCTTCCTCTCCATGATCAGTAGCTCCATTTGTTTATCCTTTCCTTCCAGTTTCAATTATCATCTTTTTGGGTTCTCTTGTGCATCTAAACAATCATGCTGTGAGTTGTTCTGCAGGAGTGGAAAAATGTTACAGAACATCTCACAGAGCACAGGTCTCTGCAGGACATCTCGCAGTAGCACAGTTCCATTGCCTTCGCTAAGATATAGGCAATTTTAAGCAGTGACCTGATGTCTGCTCTTGATGTCTCATACAGGGCTACTGCAGAAATGGAGAGACCTAACTCTGCCTTCAAAGTAGCCTGGCTCTGCTTTCTGACCCTTGTAATCTTTTTCAACAATCTGTTTTCACATAATTCCTATAAAGATTTCACTGTTCCTTCCAACCAAGTCTCTTCCTTGCCCTCTACATAACCCCTAGTATCTCTTACTATCTACATAATCCCTAGTATCTTTTACCATCTACATAATCCCTAGTATCTCTTACCACCTACATAATCCCTAGTATTTCTTACCATCTACATAATCCCTTGCCATCTCAACCTGTTCTTATTCCAGAATCCTTCACCAAGAAACATGGAGTTGTGCCTTCCACAATCTCAAAAAAGCTTAGTCATTTCAATGATACTTTCCCAGAATCTTGCACAGTCCCTTCAGTCTAATTCTCAGAAACAGACCGAAACCGATGTAAATTTTCCATCGTTTTAGCTTTAGGCTGATGCTCAACAAGAAATGCTTCAATCCAAACCAGTTCATTTTAACAAAGTGAAACAACTGTAAACAGGGGCTGAGATCAGGGCAGCTGATACAACCCCAACAACAGATGCTGCAGTAGTTCTGCCTGCCATAGGACTAAAGAGAACTTGTAATGGCTACAATCATCTCTGCATTCTGAATGAATCCAAGCTGACTTTAATCAACTACAAAATTTAATCAAGTACTACATTAAGAGCCCAGCTTCATCAGTCAAATAGCTCAGAGTAGGTTAGCTACCCGATTACCCACCTTCTCAGAAGCACAGTGCTTTGCTCAGGAAGTACTCTTTCTGTAATTCCCATATCTAAACGATCTGGTTTATAAAGAGACATGGGCACTGCATTCAAAAAAGCAACCACCGAAATACATGCTCTCCAAAGCAACACAAACACATTAATTATTTGCAATTTAACTTCTACAGTGTATACAGCAATATTTATTCATGCTACTGAAACACACTTCCCCTCCTATTCTCTCTCCATTAAAGTTTACATGCTGTCTTCTCTCCTCATTACTAGTGCCTATCATCTACCTATGCTTCTCAGGTCTTAAGTATAGCATACAAAAGACATGGCTCAACCTCTGCTGTGCCTCCAGAAGCTCAAGTAGAGGATTTTTCCTTTTTTCTTTCTTTTTTACCTGGTGAGCTGGAAGTACTGGGTGTGCAGTCACTGTCATCCAGCCATACGCTGTGAACCACTGAATCCTGTTTTGGAGGGCCCTCAAGAGAGCACATCAGCTCCTGGAGAGGGCAAAGAAGATGTATTTTGATAATGCACTTGGTAAAATCAGGGAGGGTAGCCTCTGTTTGTTAGAGATCATACACCCACCCTGTCATTCTCCTCTTCCTCAGATGTTTCATTTTCTCTCAAACCACTACAACAACTGCTTACACTGGATGAAGAACGTGACAACGGCTGCATCACACAGTATCCTGAAGTCTGACTCCTGAGCATTCTGTGAAATGCAAGCATTCAACATCGTCATGTTTATTGTTACACACAGGCTTGCACTTCTTGTGACATATTTTATTATACAGCAGTCAGAAACAGAAGAAACTCTCCATCCACAGCTAGTTTTTCCACCTAGAAAGAGAATTCAGATCAACTGGCTTGCATTCCTTCATTTCCAGTGGCTACTTCATTTAGTAGAAACACCACTTCTTACTTCCATTCTGGATAACTGTATGACCTAAAAGTCTTCATGCAGAGTTGAACCACCTGAATTTAAGCACTGTTTACCTGTAGACATTCACTGAAGCCAACACATGCCTTCATTTTGGAGAGCAGAGATTTTAGGAGCCTAAATAAAACATGATGAGGTGTTAAACTGCGTATAAAGGGAAGGTGCTACTCAGCCTAAGGCCACCCATTCCCACAGCCACTCTCAGCCCATCATATCTGGTCTTAAGTGAAATTCCAGACAGTACAAAGGGACTGTAAGGGCATATTTTTCATATCATGGAGCTTATAAACTGTCACCACCGTGTTTCTGGACACTGAGGTAGTCTGGTGCATGTTCCATATCTGCCAAGAAAGACCCTTAAGGTCAGCTTCTCACAGCTCAGAATTTGGGATCCACTGCTTGTAGTCATCTTGGAGAATGAGCAGTTCATGAGGCTGATACGCTTACATGGTGGAAGGTGCACTGTGCATGTAAGCCTGGCATTTATGACAGAATATTCACTGCCTGCACAAGAAACCAGCTAATAAGAGAGATGAAGTGCTCAAAAATGTTAAGAAACCCCAAAAAGCTAAAAGAGGCAAGAAAGATAAGACACCTTTAACATACTAAATATATTTATTCCTTCAGAAACACTGCAAAATATGGCCAGTCTGACCTACAAGCAGTAATGAAACCTAAAGTCCCAGGCATATTACATGCCAGCATGCAACAGGGAGAACAGTGAAGACTGGGCCAATACAGGCCAAGATATTTCCTCAGGAGATTAGGAAACATATTTTGGAGGAAATGAAGATCAACATGCTTCTCCCTTGGCAGAACAAATCAATAACATGAATTTAAATGAACTGGGACTTAGATTTCCACAAAGTATCTCCTTATCAGCATCCTTCCTCAGCAGGTTTCTCCAGCCTCGTTCTCTGCACTGCACTTCCTGACCTATGTCATCAAAAAGCACTAGAAACAGATGGAAACACGTTCATCTCCTCTTGCCTTCTGTGGGCCAAGATGTTCTGTTCTCACTCATGTGAGGGGAGGGGAACAGAAGGGGAGGCACTCAAGGTGGCCTCCTTTCCCCATCATTAGTAGAGGCTGGTTCAGTGGCTGCTGACTGGGCAATAGGAAGGGCACAGAGCCATAATGCTCCAATAGGAGCTATCTGTCCATCTCCCTTTCCCAGGATTCCTGCTCCAGGAACTGCCAGTGGAGCGTTACTTGATGCCACTTGGTCTCTCCACAGTCCTTGAGGTCCTCTAAGTAAGTTCATGCTCCTCTTAGCCCGGACTCTCATTTCACCCCAAAAGTCTTGCCAGTATCTTCAGTGAGGCAATCAATGACTGAGTAGCATCCGGTCCACTCCTGATTGGCTTGATGTCCCCACTCAGATGTGTCTGAGGAGGGAAAACACACACACAAAAAAACCCATGTACTTTTCCTAGGACATGAACACACACAGTACAGTGCTTGAGTTTTTGAGATGCAACCCTAAAAGCCATCTGCTCCTGAGGAGTTTTGCTACCTGGTTACACAGGCTGGGTTCATTCTTTTGAGTCTGTCCATGGGAAAAAAGATTATTTGGAAAGCTATGTGAACAGGAGAGCAGAAAACCTAAGGACAATTGTCCCTGCATGTAGGAGAGAAGACACTGTTAGCCCAAGTGAATGATGAGGTTTCATGGATTTTGGGCTGATCGCTGCAGAAGGGTGTGTTGAAAACCAGCATGCAAGAATAGGAAAAGTAAATGCTGGTTTGTCTCTACTATAAAGGGATAAATCTATTATTTATGCATTCCCCTCGCATTTATTTCCAATTTGTTTTTAGAACACAGACGAAGAGTTTGATCATTCAAGTCTGGAATTTGTTACTTAAGTTTAGCAGCGAGATGCTGGGCATTTTTTGTGATAGAGAAATCTCCAGTGATGCCGCTCCCTGGAGAGAACCCAGAATGGGTTAATGACATGCTACCAGAGATAATATGTTTAATATGAGCTGCATAAACTACCACAGAACTAGCCAGAACACTTTCTGCATTAGAAATATGCTTATATCATGATCCTGATTTGCAGTTCCACAACTAATGACCAATAAATAGACTAATCCAGTAAAACTTCGGTAGAACTTCAGTCTCTTAAGACAGACTGTTAGAATTAACACTCCATGCTTGCTCCTGCAATACTGTGCTAATGCCCTCTTGGTGAAAATGGTGTGCTTTACATGGTGGTATTACATGTTCTTGATTCCTTATTCCAGATACGACACAGAAGGGCTTGTCCCTAACTCTGAAATCACAACTCTAACTCTGGCTAATCACCAGTTGTGCAGAACTCCATGCTATATCCAACCTCATGAACAAACTGTCCAGGAATGGGCCGAACTACCACAATTGTGAAAGGACTTTCTCTGGTGATTGTACAAGTCCACTATTGGGAAAAGATGCATAGAGAGAATCCTGGAGACAGAAGCAGGCAGAGTGCTAAGTCATACAGGCCATGCTTTGTGTGCGTGAACAATATTTATGCAAGTATTGTTAGTGAAATCCCATGCTATGTTTGCTTTCTGAAAGCATGTGATACCAATCTGAAACAGCCACTGCAGCAGGCTCACCTCCACAGTGACAAATGGAGAATGGGGCTTTGGGAAGGGGGGGAAGCCCATAATTGAGTGCAGAAATCAGGGACTGATGTCAAGAAAGCTTCATCCTTTTTTTCCAGGACACGTTCTACTGGAGGGTAACCAGCACCAGCCAAGCTGAGATGTTTTCTTATTAGGCAGAATTCTTGCTACTTAGAGCAAGAGTCCCTCACACACACCTAGCCAGGAACTTCTAGTTCACTAACAAGGTGCAGGTAATGCTGGAAGATGGGGGTTGCTGACCAGCCAGCAGTTCCACATCCCACATTCTCTCTTGACCTTGGCTGTCAGAGCCAGCATCTTAAATGGTCTGTTATCTCCTAGCTGTGCTCTCATCTTCCTCCACACCAAAATTCTGCACACCCACACAACCTAGAAACTAGTATCACAAAAACATACTTACCAGAAACCAGAGCTCTGCCTCTGGGCTGTGATAAAATTCTGGGCAGTCCTACAGCATACAATTGGGTAGCTGAACTACTGCAAACAGTGACCGGGCCCTAATTCTTAGGGAACATTAGGTCTAGTTGGAAGGAAGGCCCTTCCTTGCCAGACTTGGCACCTGAAGCAACTACCACAATCCAGGCCTTGTTGTAGGGCACCTTCTGAAAGCTTCTTAGAGCAGCCCCAGTCCTGAGAAGGGGACATGCCCCACTACAAAGTACTCGGTGCCCTTTTTGCCACAGGTCTCATCCAAATTCTCATGACAAAAATCAGGTGTGGGCACGCTGTTCCAGAAAGTCAGCTGCAGTTCTGGGTTTAAAAGGCAGACTGCTTCGGAGTCTTGGAAATAGAAATGTGTAGTTTCCATGAAGTTCTGAAGGATCCTGGATAGGATCACAGCCCAGCATAATACAGCTTAACAACAGCGAAGCTGCACTGTCAAGAAAGTGCATTTTTCCAGGTTTTGACCACCAGAAGCTGGAGAACTCTTTTGCAGACTACTGCATGTAGTGTTTTGCAGAACACCGGCTGTGGGGTGGCTTTATCACTGAAACATGCACATGAGACCCTGCTGTAACACTCTGGGACGACTGAAGACACCTAGTTCACACTGGTTGGGAGTAGCAGCATACATATTGCTTAGAGGGGCAGAACTTGGGTACAACCCAACATACTCTTGTCCAAGCTTCTCCATAAAGCTCCAAAATCACTCCAGAGCAAACTATAGAGGAAACATATACATGAGTAAGCATGGATAACTGGACAGCTAGGGATTTGTGTATTCTGTTGGATGCAAGCTAATATTATAGTAAAGATATAGCCAAAATCACCTTTAAGTGGTCCAGTCATTCTTCACTGGCTGTTTAAGAAAGCTCAGTTCCTTACTTACATGCTCTGAATTTCTGTGCCATGGACAGAAGACATCTAACTTTTAAGATGCTGAAATGCCTGATGTAGACAATGTCAGGAAAACCTCCAACAGAGCAAGACATGCACCACCACACTCCAGCCAGTACCAAACACAGTGAGCAACTTCCACATACTAACATCATTTTCAACTCACTTGCTCTTCCTGTTGGGGAACTCTGGGGAGCTGGGACTGGATGATCCATCAGACTTCAGGTCAAAGAACGTCCCTGGACTGTCCAGCATCTTCTGTATCCTCTCTGCAGTGTCTCTGCTGGGACAAAAAGCGAAACCAGCTATAGCCCAGGGATAGAGTTAACCACTGTCTATTGTAACACTTCCTTACAAGTCACTTCCTTACAAGAATACAAAGCTAGATCTCTTGCATACACAAGAAAGGGAAGCAAATGCAGTTGTGTTGAAAAGGACAGACTCCTTAGATGTCACCTGTTGAGGGCAATGTATTAGAAGTTACCAACTGTAAACTCCTTATGAATTTATATAAAAGCATAAAATAATTTCAGTATTCTCCTTAAATTCTTCAACATTTTCTTCTACCCCTCCCCATTTTCTCATTTCATTGATTTTAGGCTTTATGATTTAGTAGAGATTATTTATTATAGAATATATTCATAATATATATTTCTATAATGTATAAATTTATAATGCATAATATAGACTAGAAATATATTTATGTATTTATTGCATAAAAGAGGATTCAGCAAATTTCCTTGTTTCAGGCTGGTTCCATTAGTTTGATTGCTACTAGTACTGGTAAAGACACTTCTGCAGAAGGCTGTGTGAGTAACTGACAAGTGGGGTATGTTTAATAAAGGATAGGAAAACTCAGAATTTCATTGGGTGCTTTTTTGTGGCTTCAGTGGTAGAGTTTACAAAGTTCCTCTTCTGCTCTCTTGGCCAGTTAATCCTACCTGTACCCCTTCACATCACAGCTCCTCAGGCCCTCAGTTGTGTTAATGCAAATGTTTGTGGGGCTGGAAATTATCCTGACAAAAAAGAATCCTGAAACTGAAACAACCCTGAAACTTGTATGACACAGGAACGAGTGGGATGCAGTGGGTCAGCTCTGTCATCAGAGCCTGCACATCATAAAGCTTCAGGGTGAAGACCCACAGGACATGCTGAGGACACTGCTCTTAGAGAGCGAGACCGCTCCAGCTTCCTTCACTCTTGCTGAGTGTACTTTTCATCTGCCCTGGTACCCATCAGGCTTCTCCGTGAGCCAGCTCATGGCAGAACCTGGCAGCCAATTAATCCAATAAAAGAAAGTTGGTACTTTTTCTGTTAGATTAATGGGCTGAATCAGTTCCATGAAGGGTCCACTAAGCATCTGAGCCATCACAAGGAACAGGACAGCCTGGGGTAGCTGAAAGAGAAACCAGGAAAGGGAAAATATGGTATCTGCTTTTCAGTAGCAATGAACTTAGACCAGTTGCTAGTGAAACTGCACCTTCAGGAATTACCCAAAAAGGCTTCCACAAAACACAAGATAAGGCTCACTGTGCCTCATACCTAAGATTACAAATAAGCAAACTGAAAGCTAAAGAAACCAAACTCCCTCCTACCAAAGAGCAAGGAGGGGAAAAAAAAAAAAAGGGAAAAATCCAGGATTTTTCCTTGTTGTAGAAAATCTTTTACAGATCTTTAAAGGGGACAGTGAAGGATGTTGCACACAAAGTAACGGATTGAGGGGCACAGCTGCATAAGGTACAAAACTATTTAATGTAGTCAGGAGCTGTAGTTACTGTGTTGGTGAGACTGTTACAGGGAATTTGGCTCAGATTTTATTTTTCTCTAGGAAAGTTCAATAGTATTTTTATTTGGATTAGGTCATAGGTACCTCATTAAGGAGAGGTCCAAGAGAATAACTGGAAAGAGGGAAAAATGTAGTAATTATCCCTATTGTGAAATCACTGGTTTCCAGATAGATGGCTTTTCCCCTTTTACACTGAGTCATTAAACTGTTCCCTGGAATTCCTGCAACTGGGAAAACTGTATAATAGATGCAGAACACCCCTGTGACTTTTAAGACTTCATAATCTTAAAAAGGTGTCTCACCTAGAGCTGAGGCGAATTTATCCATTTACCTAAATAATCTCTTATCACCAACAGACAACTTCCGAATGGTTGTAATCTGTCAAATATGCCATGTCATGACTTGAATCCATATGTTACCTCTTCATTATAATTATTTCTAAGCACACCTAACTTAAACACTAGTCATTTTGACTTACAGCGTTTTTAATTGAATCCCTTTAAGATATTGGCAGTTTTGCCTACTTTAACTTTTTAACATGAAAACAAACACCCTCCCCGACCCCCCCATTTTCCCCTTCCAAAGTAAAAGCTTTTCACCTGACTCTTAGCTAAGGTGGCAAATACAGAACAGGAGAACCAGGAGTCCTGGATTATACTACACAATATTCAAGAGCAGTCTTACTATGTTCCTCCACCCATTTCCTCCCTTCTTCCTCAAATATTGATACTCTCCACTTCCACACCTCCTTTTTTACTTTGTCTGTTTCTGTCATTTGTCTATTTCTCCATTAGTAAGCAATCAGGCTTTTCTTCCCGTTCCAACCATTGCCATTTCAGTTCTCACTCCTGTCGGTTCCCTTCTGTCCTTACATGTGCCTTTCTATCTTCCTCTTCTCATCTCCTCCTGCTTTCTTTTCCCTGTCTTATCTTCCCACAGCTCATACCTCTTTTCCTCCTGTATGTTCTCAATGCCAATAGCACTACTCCGTCGCCCATGGAAGCGGCTGGCTCGAGTACGTGATGGGCTCCTACCAGGCAAGGCAAAAGACTACAAAAAAGGAAAGTGTGACAGAAAGGAGGGGAACAAGACAGGAAGAACTGTGGAGAACTCGAAGCATGGGATAAGGAGTTTGCAACATGGATTCAGATTCTCTCCTTTACTCTGAAATACAGTAGCATGGCCCAGCTCCACCAGTGCAAGGAGCACTCTGTCAGTGAGAAAGAGAAGCTAGGCTTATAAAGGTAGTATGAAAAGGAGACAGAGGTATAGGAACAGAGGCAGAACAAGATACACAGCCACTATATAGACTCAGCAAGAAAGATATCCCATATGATGAGAGAAGGAGAAGGTAAGAAAACTACAAGTTAAAAGGAGAGGAGGTGGCAGCAAACCCAAGTTGTTGCTATTCTGTGACTTTGTTGTGCTGACATACAGAATTCATGCAACCGAACAAACTCTCACCAAGGAATTCCCACATTGAAAGACATCTTCCTGGCTTACACAGAGATGTTTTCTTGTTGTTTGCCTGTATTGACATCTCTGTGCAGAGACCACAGTCAATTGGATGGATTTTGACCAAAGTAACCATATTTCCAATATCAGAAACACGTATCCTTTCCTCGAAATGTTTGTCATGGATTTACACTGATAGAGGATGTTTATGTTTAGTATCCTCATCAAATAAAAAAGCTTTTGATAATGACTGGAAATATTCACTCTTTATCACCCCAAGTTTTTATTAATTTGCTGCTTGCTCCCAACATGCAAGTTCTATTTACAGCAAAACAGCACCTTGAATAAACATTGTGCACCTGCTTTGTCCTACAGAAAACTATCTGACTGGTGAAACTGAAGCAAATGGAACAGATCTAGTGTCCTTATGTTCTGAGCTCTTGCCACATGACAATACAATGCCACTGTGGCCAAACCACTCTGTATGCATCCTTTTAAGGTATGGCAATGTACAGGATATAATCCGGAATAACAGAGATAGATGTCCGATGTAGAATCATGTTTGGCTTTTTTCCCCCCAGTCTGCAACATCAGCTCTAGTTTACAGATGAACTGTGGCTAGAGATAGCACAGATAAAACAGACTGTAACATGTGCTGTCACCACTTGTGAAATGGGACGATACAATGGTAAGAGATTCACAGAAGGACAAGAGGACAAACTAATAGGAAAAGAGAAACAAAACCTATGGATGGGTCACAAAGGTACACCAGGTTTCTCCTGACAGCCCACCCAAATACCTTACCGCAGCAACAGCCTTAGGGCCCTCGGCGACACTCTGGCTGAGGGCAAGGCCAGCTGGCGTTGGGCGGCTGGGCAGGGTAGCTGGCTGCTGCTTTCTCATGGATATTCCCATGGTATCCAGGCTCTGGCTGCGGCCTCTGATCACCCGCTGAACAGGAGGGAGGCAGGGAAACAGACAAACACAGATACACATATAGACATGCACACGGTAGGGTACTATGAAAATAAAGCACAACACATCGGGTGGAAAGTTGTCACAGACCAACATCAGAACCACAGAAATCCTAATTCCTAGAAGGAAGCATCTTAGATATTACCCTTTTTTGGCCCTAGGCAATTCACTGCCAGGGAAGAACTCTTCCTCAAGTATTTCTCTACTTTTACTTCCCTTGTCCTGTTGCAATAGATTCCCTGCTACTACCCCAGCATACTGGATACACCAGCATAATCTGTACAAGTCCCACCCAGTACAGGCTACAAAATCATACTGTTCAAGACTGTAAGGTTGTCTTGCACGAACCTGAGTGCGGGTTCCAAGGGGAAAGCAGCCATATTGAAATTGGCAGCATTTGAAAAAGCCATTTTCTAAGTTTACTCAGCCTTTTACAACCTTTTCCAAATGTCTACGTGACACGCAAGTCGCAACATCTGCTACAAGTCAGAAAAAGGACATTTTGGGATAATTAGTGTAAGACATGGATGGGTATGGAAATTCCTGCTTAGCAGCAAAGACTATGTAAGAATACACCTCAGTAAAGCATCCCAGCTCTGACCAAAGCTATGCTTATAGCTACCAAACCTATACCTGAATGGATTAGTTTCACAGCCCTTAACAATTCTAACCAGCCCCCTATATGAAGCAGGAGGAGGTCATCTGAAGAAATGGTATTTATAACACTTCTCTCTATCCAGACAGATAACCTACTATACAAAAGAAGTGTTGAGGCGTTACCCACAGAAGTAGAAAGGGGAAGTAGATAGAACAGTGATATAAGATTCCCTCAAGATAGTTGGTTTAAAACTCAGGTTTGCCTATTCACATGTAAATTTTGCTTCCTTGTATCATCTTGATCACTTTTAAAAGTGAGTTCTGTCACTTGATACTGACATCACAAAAAAAGCATCATCTACACTGAACAAAGGTAAATTAACTCTGGCTTTTACAGGGCAAGTAAAGCATCACTGTGTTTGTACATAGTGCATGAACAGATACGTTAGAACCTCTCTTGCAGTGGCTCTTGCAACTCTTTCAGATATAGTGAGAATGAATTGGAAGAGATCTGCTGGAGGAACTGAAAGCTGCTTGCCAGTAGTTATTACAGCTCCTCTTGCAAACACTCCTTTTTCTGTAGTCATAGAGTGAAACCCCATCTGACACCAGCATGAAGTACAAAGACTTCTGAGAGACAGCATGGAATTCCACCCTGGACCTCACTGCAGCTCTGTAGGAAGGAACACAGAAAGGGGAAAAATGTCTCTTCTTGAGAGACATGGTAAAGCCCAGCTGAAGATGCTCTCAAGAAAGTATGGAAAGCCTTAAGCACAGCTGCTCAGCAGGGTCAATATTCCTTGGAGGGATACCCAATGAACTAGAGAAAAGTGTGAGCAACTGGGTAATGAATCAACCCACTACAGCTCACCTTGAAATTCTCAAGGAAGCCCCCACTGCCATTCTCTATCTTGTCATCCTCCCCTACGGGTAGTCCCATCATACTACGGCTGCGAAGCTGTAGCTCCTCAAAAAGGCTCTCCAAGAGGGCACTCCGGGTTCTTTCCTGCATCAATATCAGGAATGAAAACACAGTTATTATTTGGAGCAGAGGGATTTTTTTTTTCCTCTCTGTTTTGGCAATGTCTCACATACACCTTGCTACATAAATAAATCAATCAATCATCACAAAAATTACTTTGAACGGTATGAAGTGGCTTTAGCTGTATCAGCATGCAATATATTACAGTAACACCCAGTCCTCTTAAGGTCTTTCTAAAGCAAGTCATAAAAAACATCAGTATTTTTTTACAGGTGATGTAAAAGAGGCATGTATTTTCTTGATCAGGCAAGCAGCAGAGTTTGGAATAGAAGTTTGGTACCTTGAACCAAAAAGCAGTGATATCAATACAGATCCCGAAGCACAATATTCAATTTCAGCTAATACAGGATTTCCTCCAGCAAAATGAAGGAAATGCATCATATTCGCATTCTGACTTGAGGATTAGATCTTTACATCAGAATGCACCTGTGCATATTCTACCACACCTGCTGTGAAATATAGAGGAAGCATCACACAGCCGATTATAATCCCATTTCATCTTCCTTTTTCAAGCAACACAATATTAGAAACATAGAATAGTTAAGGGTTGGAAAGGACCTTAAGATCATCAAGTTCCAACCCCCTGCCATGGGCAGGGACACCTCGCTCTAAACTATATCACCCAAGGCCTTGTCCAACCTGGCCCTGAACACTGCCAGGGATGGAGCATTCACAGCCTCTTTGGGCAACCTATTAGAAGGAAGTAAAAAAACTGCACTGTATTTTCTTGATCTGTCAGAAATGCAGTTTTATAACTTCTAATGGGAGCAACCAGGCAACAGACCCACCTCTAATTTAGCAAATTTCTCAGCTCGATAGCAGCTGTACTCAGCATTGATGAGCTTGACCAGGAGAAATTCACGGAATTCTGCACTCTGCAAGTCAAGACAAAGACTAGACTGGAGATGAAAACAGTAGTAAAAATAGCACACTCTACCTTACTACTCTTTAGACCTCCAAGACCCTTAGCCAGACTGACAATACTGAGTCAGAACACAGGAGTGTGTACCACATCCCCCTGCCATCAACACTGGACCAGAGAAACAAACCTTTCTAAATACGGCTGGGTTTGGCAGAGGGGGTCCAAAGAATGGGACATCATCGCGGGCTGTGACTGAAACCTGAAACAATATAAGGGGCAAAAAATAAGTACTGTAACACAAGTGAGACTACCAAAGCCTTCAAACTACTATGGTACATCCAATCCCTCCTGAACATTTACATAGTTGAAAGAGATCTAACGTGCTACCCTGTACACCCATCTATTTCTGAACTCAGTGAATGGATGTGCTGACTTATCTCCCAGAAATTCAGCCAGCTGGATGTAAACACATTAAGAGCAACAAAAATCAACTGAAATAGTAATGGGTTTTTAAACAGCATTTTCAGTAAATATTTTTTTCAGTAAATAATAACCAGTGTATTTAGAACAACAACAGCAAGATTCCTGCAATATTTACCTCTAGAAGACCCTTTGCCAATATGGTTGTACCGGATTGTATGTACCAATACGTATGGGGTTTGTTTGACAGAGAATCCTCAGTGGAGATACACTGGACACAGAGGGGAGTATCTGTGACACAACCCCTTAGAAACACATGTAATGGAACAATACCATTATTTGCCATTTCATACAACAGGGAACAATATCGTAACAACAGCAACTGCCTCAGTGTAAATGTCACAGAGCCCATGAGAGGTATGAGTTTAATAAGAGAAAGAAGGAAAGGGACTCCCGATTTAATTCAGATTTCTCACATTGCAGGCCAGCTCCCCTACTTACAAGGCCCCCCTCTCCCTAGCTATCTACCCCCCAGTACCTATAAGGCAGCCCAATAGCTATTTAATAGTTAAAATCCTGCTGTGCATTTTTCATTTTCTGACTGCAAAAGTTGATTCAAAGAAATAAATGCCATTAATACTCCAATTTAACCTCTAGGCACTAAAGCTTAAGTTAAGGCAAAATGGATAGGAAAAGACATTCCCAAACTGCAGGCTCTTAGGCACTTGAACACTCTCCAGGCAGGGTAAGTTAACACCCCTTTGGAAAAACCTTACAGAACACACTACACTGGCTCCAGTGTCCAGACTGGGACTATTTTCCCTGCCCATGGCAGGGGGGTTGAAACTAGATGATCTTTATGGTCCTTTCCAGCCCAAACTAATGTATGATTCTATGGTTCTACTTGTTTTCCATTAAAAGGTACAAGCAACCCTACTACACTAACAAAACCAGTGCCATTGCAGACAGGCAAAGATGAAAACAGGAGTAGTAGAAAGATGACAAATATCAAGCTTCCCCATCTCTTTCCCTTGTCATTAAAAAAAATCCAGTAAATTTCTGTGCCCTACAAAATAGAGGGCAAGAGGGGAACTGGAACACCATGCCTCTGATCAACATGAGGCTATCTTTTAACTACAGACCTGGCTGCCCATAGCATAGGAAACAATGGAAAGTGACTGTTCCATCCCCAGCACCCTATTTGGTGGGAGTGGAGATGGAGAACCTGTCTTAATTTTGATATTCTTGGTGTTCTTGTAGACCTCCATGGTATAAGGACTCATCATCACCACATGAGAATTCCTACATAACATGAGACATACCACTTTGATTAAAATGGTTCTACAATGGAAAATCCATCACAGAATGAAGGCTTCCATGTATTTTTCTGCTGTCTCAGCGTGACAAAGTTGAACATTAAGGCATTCATACAGGGTCATGTGACAGAAAGAGTTGTGCCCAAAAGCTGCAGATAGGGAATTCATGTTCTGGCAGGGCTTCTTCCAACTGGAGGGCCCTAACAGGTAGCACCTTCCTGTCAGATGGGCATCAGTTTTGGGATCCCCCAAAGCAGATGTAGCTGGCTCAGATTAGGCCAACCAGCTGTACCTGATGTACAGTCTCAGACAGGGCATGATCTCAAGCACTGTGTTGTTGCACCTGAGCAATTCAGACATGGCTGTCAGTCAGGTGAATGAGTTTTGTGATGTGACTTATGTAGTACAAGCAAGACATCTCCCAAAATAGGATCAACTGTACCCCATGCTCTTTGATATAAGCAGAACTTTTAATTTTAGCTCATCCTGCTTCAGTTCCCAAGCTTTAAGCTTCAGAAATTCATCAGCTACTTTGAAAAATGAATAACTACATTAAAGGTTTCATGCATAGATACTTAACAAATTAGGATGACAGCTGGCTGAACCTATACCTCTCCCAAAGGCCCAAGAACAGCTTTTCACTTCAAGCATCGGTATCAGTAAATCAGTACAGAGGAACCTATTGGTTCTGTTTACCTTGTAGAGAGTGTCCCCAGTGGTGTCATGAGTGAGCTGAACTACCACATAAGCATGTAGGAAATTAGAAGCAATCATATCAGGGACAAAAGGTGTGCTTTCATCCTGGAAGATGATGGCTACAATGTCATTCCCAATGTGACGCTTCCGCTGAAGCTGGAGAGGAAAAAATAATAAAGCAAGAAGGCAAGTGAAAATGAGCAAAACAGCATAACAGAGCCTCAAACATGAGTTGTGTAGCATCTCTAACCCATGTGTTCAACCAAATCCCTCATCACTACTTTTACCATTACCCCAGCAGTAATTCCCAGTATTATGCAGTTGGACATTCTCCCCTCTATGCAGTCTCTCACCAAATACCCCTCCTCTCTTAGCCCCACTGTTGTGTTCCTTAGTTCTCCCTTGAGTACCTGCTGGGAATCTCCCTCTGTGAAGGGCAGCTTCGTAGATACATGAAACATAATCTCCTTGCCCCGGAAGTTTGTATAGACTGACTCGGTGCCTGTCTGACCTCTGGTAACATCCAGGCCTCCTCGGAACCTGAGCAAATCCATACCGTGCCATCGGTCAGGCATTAGGACAGAGATTAGAAAGTGGAGAGAAGAAAGACAGTATCAATAACAGTAGCTGGTGCATCAATATTATCAAAGGTATATATGAAGAAATCAGTGATAGTGAAGGCAATAAATCTTCCCAAAACAAATGCACTGATTGAAGCTGCCCAGCATTTCAGCTGATGAGCATACGTGCTTGCTAAAAGTCATGAAGTTAAACCAGGGATCCTCAAAGGAGCTACTTTCTTTTACAGTCTTCTGAGAAATACAATCCTTATTTTAGAAATACAGGAAGGATGAGCCACCCCACAGAGAGACTAAATCGATACTGACCCATACCGTTGTGAAACAAACTTACCTTTGCATAGCCCAGTAAAATTATTCTTTGCTGATATTGTGGGTCAGATTAAGATACAGTGAGACCTTTAAATGAAAACACCAGCACAGACCTAAGCTCCAACTTGTTCCCAGACAGGATTGCTGACAAAAGCATTCTGGGTTTCTCTACCTGCACTGGGATTCAGAGGCTGCCTCACTTAACATAGTCACAGCCTCTGAACACATGGTATTCCTTAACTCAGTCTGGCTTTCTAACTGCGCTGGGTACGCACCCACGGAAATCCTGCAGCTGAATCTTGTCTCCAAGGAAATCCAAGAACTCCAGGAAACCCAAACTCTCTTCTGTGTTACTGAAGACTTCTTCTTCTGTCGTCTTCAAAAGACAATGGAGAAGTCGTAAGGATCACAAGCAATACAAAAAAAACAGCAATTTCTATACACGGTTCAACGAGCTTTGAGGACCTGTACAAACAAATCAATCAACTTGATGGATGAAGCTTCCATCCTCTCTCTTTACAGCATGTGTATTTTTCACAGCGTAACACAGACCTTCTTATTACACTTAAGCTAAGAGAACTGACTCTTTCTGTTTTGCCTCAATTATCATGGGATCTAAGGGAGCTTACCTGTCCAGGTTTCTGGTAGATGACCCCAAATTTGAAGTTATTACTTATGACATGTTCATCAAACGCAACAATAAGCTGCGAAGCCTGAGGTAATGAAAAAACAAGTTATCAGTTGGATGTCATTAGCCACATCTTAACGGAAAAGGGACGTACGGACATATCAGAACATTGTACCTTGGGGTAGAGGACAGGAAAGAAGCGTTCAACATTCACATCCTCACACACTAGCTGTCGAGTGAGAGAGAGCAAGAGGGAAACAGAAGTGAGATTATCATGTGTCCTGGTTCGCTGTGGGCATGAGAGCATGGGCACTGCTTCCAGTTACCTGATAGCAGTCAGGCAAAAATTCTGAGGTTAATTTAGAAGAAAAGGAAGGGAAGATAAAAGGCAAGTGTAAAACGGAAGTACATGACAGTACTATTGAAGAATGGTAGAAAATAGGGAAGTGGGAGGACAGAGGTAAAAACAACTTGAAGAATGAGGCATTAAGAACAATCAGGCAAGCACGAATCTCACCTTCGCCATCTGGACAGCATTAGGAAACTCATTCAGACAGGAAATGGGGATCAGGTCATGTTTGGTGCCAGTTCGAGTCCTGACACAAAACAAAAAAAGTAATTAGAGAAAAGGCTGCAGGGAGACAGAAGCAACACTGGCTCTTTAAAGAAAGAGTAGCCATTCCTTCAAGTTATCCTTAAAGCAGTTAATTCCAGAGGATTAATTTGAAGGCTGGTGCACAAAATCACTGGAAAAGGGAGGTTATTTACACTTCTTATTGCTCATCAGTTGTTGTGGGGAGCAGAGGAAGACAAAACAGGGATGCTTAGTCTCTTCCTCCTTTGCATTCTTTTCCTGCTTGAAGAAGTATTTTGCTTTCCCACTACTACCATTTTCTTTCACAGAAATCTAAATGCTAAAATACAATTCATGGACACAGAATTATAATGGATTCATAAGATTATACCATGAATGTTTAAAAGGCTGTTAAAAGGTTTGTGAGAGACAGCCTCAGAAAGCAGAGCTATGTCAAGTATAAGAGGTAGAAACTGGTGTAGCATTGCTCCAGAATGCTGATGGAGGATCCTCAGCTGATGGCCCTTAAGTGCATTGATCACAGAGGAACACACATGAAGTCTCACAAAGATGAGGAAGGGGCACCTGAGGAAATAGGATCCAACAGGGAAACACAAATAGAACACTCCAAAGGAATTAAGAGGTGTTCCTCTAAGAAGGTGATGAGGCCAACAGCCCAGCTGAAGTGCCACTATGCCAATACACAGCATGGGCAACAAACAGGAGCTGAAAGCCACCGTGAAGCTAGAAAGCTATGACCTGGTGGCCATTACTGAAACTTGGTGGTATGGATCCCATGACTGCAGTGCAGCTCTTGATGGCTAAAGGCTGTTTAGAAGAGATGGGCAAGGAAGGAAGGGTAGAGGGGCTGCCTTCTACATCAAGAGAGGGATAGAGTGCAAAGCTTGTCTCTCAAGAATAGCCACAAGCAGATTGAAAGCTTATGGGTAAGAATCAGGGACCAAGACAACAAAGGAAACCTTGTGATTGGTTCTACTACAGGCCACCCAATCAAGTCAAGACTATTGATAAAGCCTTCTTACTCCAGCTGCAGGAGGCATCACACTTGCAGGCTCTTACACTGCCAGGAGACTTCAACTACCCTGACATGTGCTGGAAAAGTAGCACAGTGAGCTGTAGGCAATCCAAGAGACTCCTGGAGTACACTGGGGATAACTTCTTCAACTAGGAAATAGACAGCCCTACCAGGGAGGATACGATACTGGACCCAGTGGTCACCAATGTAAGTGAGCTAATAGGTGATGTCAAGATTGGAGGCAGCCTGGACTGCAACGATCATGCACTGGTGGAGTTCACAGTCCTGAGGGAGGTGAGACAGGCAGAAAGTACAGTCAGGACCTGGAATTTTAGGAAAGCCAACTTCCAGCTCTTCATGGAGTTAGTCAACAGGACCCCCTGCCTTCAGGGATAAGGGAGCGGAACAGAGCTGTCAGATCTTTAAGGACATCTTCCATAGAGCACAAGAGATTGTGATCCCCCATGTAAAAATCGAGTAAGGAAGGCAAGAAGACGGCATGGCTGAGTTGAGACCTACTGGCCAAACTAAAAGGCAAGAAGGAGATGCACAGGCCATGGAAGCAGGAACATCCTGGGAAGAGTATAGGGATGCTGTCTGGTTGTGCAGAGATGAGGTTAGGAAGGCCAAGGTGCAGCTGGAGCTGAACTTGGCAAGAGATGCAAAGAATAACAGGTACGTCAACCAGAAGAGGAAGGTCAAAGAAAGTGTGCCACCCGTCAGTGAGCAAGACTGGTGAACTGGGAACAAAGGACAAGGAGAAGTCTGAGGTACACAACAACTTTTTTGCCTCAGTCTTTACTGGCAGCTCTCTCCCCACACATCTCGAGTGGATGAACTGCAAGGTGGGAAATGGGGGCGCAAAGTCTCTCCCAGTGCGAGGATCACGTTCGTGATCATTTGAGGAACGCAAACGTACACAATCTATGGGACCTGATGAGATCCATCCCAGAGTCCTGAGGGAATTGTCTTATGTAGTTGCTAAGCCACCTCCATGGTATTTGAGAAGTCGTGGCAGTCAGGTGAGGCCCTTGGTGACTGGATAAAGTGTAATATCACATCCAGGAACCCAGGAACGACTGACCTGTCAACCTCACCTCTGCACCTCGTAAGATCGTGGAACAGGTCCTTCTAGAAGCCATGCTACAGCACATGGAGGACAAGGAAGTGATTCAAGACAGCACAGCTTCACCAAGGGCAAGTCCTGCCTTACAAAGCTAGTGGCCTTCTGTGGAGGAGTAACTACATCAGTGGACAATGGATGTGGTTCTGGTCAACCTGACCTAGTTAAGGATGTCCCTGCTCATTGCAGGTGGGTTGGACTAGATGAGCTTTGAAGGTCCCTTCCAACCCGAACTATTCTATGATCCTATATATGTGTATTAAAAGAGATACGTCTTTCTAGGGAAGAAGAAATATTGGGCTGTCAGAGACCTCTTCAAACCATTATAAAAAGCTCTTGAGCAAAAGGTACTGCATATAATACAGTATCTTTATAAAGGAATTACTACCCCTTTTTTTCTTCACCGGTCTCTTCCATGTAAGAAGTATTTCCTGGCACAGCTCACAAACAGATTCTCTCTCTCTCCCCAGATTATTGCTCTGCGTGGCACTCCACATACAATGGAGGAAACCTACCAGTGCTTCTCTTGTAGCCAACTCCTATGCAACCAGTATTTTCCCCTCAGTCGTTGTTGAGTCCCTGTAAGCAGCAGCTGCACATCAGTTAGTTCCAGGAGCATATTGCCTACTGGAAGAGCACCACAGTGTGGTAAAAAGCTTTCCTGCAGCGTGCCTCTCACCTATGCAAGATCCACCTCTGTGCGGCCTCTAGTTCATTCATCAGCTCTCTCTGGGTAATGACTCTGCGTGGAAGCCCTAAAGGTTATGGCACATTGTAAGCTGTCCTGTAAGCTAAAGAGCAGTCTAGCTCACCTTTAAGGGAGCCTTAGTCTCAAGTACGAAGTCCAAAGGCCTGGGCTAGGCTGCCTTCTATCAGGAAATCCATATTCTCCTAGAGAGTACTCGTGTGTCTCTAAGTAAGCAGAATAAACAGAAAAACCTCCTTTTTGAGAGAAGAACAGATGTTCACCCAGGAGCTATAAAAATGCACCTGCAAGCATGACTTCAGCTTCCTAAAAGAAACTAAGTTCCCTTAGAGGGGAAGGCAAGAAAAGAAGGCTCAAAGGTTTCTTTGCAGTCCAGTACTAGAGAAAGACGTGAGATTGCCACCCATATTGAGGAGGCTCAAGGTAAGGTGATAGACACTGCACAGTGACGCACACTTCAACAACAGGCACTATTACCTGAGCAACAGGCGTAGATTTTCCTGTTTCTCAATCTGTTCATACTTCACAGAAAGTACCAGGTAGCCCAAGGACATGTCACTGGAGTAAAAGTTCTGGTGCTCCTGAAAACAGAAAGCCAAAATGCTTTATTCCCAACACGCTCCCCAGGGAAGTTTACCAGATTTTTTGCATACAACTTGTCACCCAAGAAGAGCTGATTTTTTCTTTGACTAGCAATGGCATGATTGAAGACAGGCATATGCTGTCTCCCAGCCCCCTTGATGATCAGTGCATGAGCATATCAATCAAAGCTCATCTACTCTCAGCTCAGTTTCTCCTCAGCAGTCCATCATCATAAGGGCTCCTGAGCAGGAATAGGATGAGAACATTCAGCAACACAGTTTTCCTGTGAATAAATGTGTATCTTTCACAGACTTTCCCTGTATCCATTCATGCCCTTCACGACTAAGTAGTGGTCTCCAGCACATTCAACTGGATATGGTCATGGGAATTTTCTATATGAACGAGTAATGGCAGGATCATTATACCAAGTGGCTGATCTGTAAGAGCACTCGCATCTCAGTGAGGATGCATCAGAGGTTCAGGTAACTTCTTTGCAGATGAAGACTGTTCTCAGCAGGGACACTAACACTACTTACACTAAAGCGTAAGCATGCCTCAAACAGAGAGCGTCATTCAGTCAAACAATGAACTGCAATGCAAACACTTCCACAGGCTCTATATGCAAGTGGCTGCAGTCATACATTACTCCTGGGTATACAGCCAAAGGCCTGGGTATAACAATATATATTTTATATACTGAGACAGATAGATACAACATATATATCAATATATATGACCTTTAACCTCAAGTGGTTAGAGGCCTTTCGACAAGGGATGTGAATGGAAACCTCTAGCACAATAAGAACACTACGTAGGTGGAATCATCCAGAAATGCTTAGATCACTCCTATCTTCCTAGTGGAAAACCACTTTATGGCTAGTTTTTGGAGCTGGCTGCTGTATAAACTCTGACCAAAGAACTGAGCCTGAACTCATGCTTTCAGCAAATAGTCCAAATTATTGGATTTGGGGTATAAGCAGGACATAGAGACTAGCGAATGTCATGCAGGGGATCCAATTCTCTTTGCATTAGATTTGATTAGATTAATATCTGAATCTCCCTGCTAATAAGAACTCCTACTGAAAGGGGCAGTAGGACATTCCAGTATTCAGCCTCCAACCCAAGAGAATATAGTGAGATCTGTATCACACTTTTGAGCTAGCACCGATGGAAGCTAGGGTAGGACCCCTTCTCAGCAAGGAAAAGTAATAATAAATAAAACAAAATAAAGAATTTCCAAACCAAAACAGTCTAAGCTACCTTATAGCAGGCAGAATTATCAGTGCCTCCTTATGCCTCAGCACCATGCAAATAAGGAGAATGTCATACAGCAATCTGCTGATAGTGGAATCAGGAATGTGTCCACAGAGATCATCAGTGCAGAATCAGTTTAGGCAACAGAAAACAAAGTAATAAAACCCAAGGTTTTCTTTTGGAATCTCCTGCAGACAGATCATGTACGTCAAGATACCCAGCTGGATCACCCACTCGTGGTTCTGTCCACTCACTGAAAAGTCAGATGCCTTCAGGAGATAAAATGCACATACATTAATGGGGAACTTGATTCCTCAGTTCCACTGGTCAATTGCTGCACAGAGAAGAGCCACGCACCATTTGCTATCTGGCTTGTTGATACACTTTCTAATCATAGCGCTGTCCATCACCAACTTACTTGAAAGATACATTCAAAGTACTCTGCATATATTTTAGTGTGTACAGATTCTTTTCTGATGTACACCAAAGGTTTTATGCTGTTTGGTTGTAGAAGTGTTTGTCATGGTCAAATCAAATGGGGGGAGAGAGATTTGCACAGCCCCGCAATTAATGAACGGGCTGTTCCACCACCAGAATAGCAGTCACCTCAAATCAAGGACAGAGACACTTGCAACCTGAGAACACAGCCAGGGAGCATGAAGTAAGTAACTAGGATTGCAAGACTCAGGGGAAGGAAGCATCACAAGGAAGCACTGTATAAATGCGTTCTTGTGCATGACACAAGGGTGTTGTGCACTGGGACAGTAAGGTAAGTGTCCGGTTGTACAGTCAGCACTTGCAAGTTTGAAAGTGAAAGGAACCCTCCAGACACACACAAAAAAATAATAAGAACTCCATAGGAGCAAAGTGTGCCATTTGATCAAGGAGTTGCTCATCTGATGGTTCTTTCCTCAGCTTTTTGCCTAGAAAACACAGGTCTACTCTTTCTCTGGTGGATCACAACCTCTCTCAACACACTGGTGAGACTGGCTTTTGCTGTGGGAAAACTCTGAACTCTTTTTTTGTATTAGTCATAGTTCTGACTCACTGTGAAGTAAAGGTACATCTAGTGAAATCCTCTGATTATGTGGGTGGACACAGAGAGAAACCAGTCCTCTCTCTGCGGAGAAGGAAAAAGAATAACTAAGACCACAGTCTACCCTGAACCTGCATGTGAAGATGATGCTACTGACCTTACTTTAAGTATTAGAGTCCTTATGTCATTGTCTTCACTCCCGCTCTGAGACAGAAAGTAAAACAAACAAAACCACACAAGAACACCCAGAACTGCCCTGCTACTGACCTATGGGGAAGAAATTTCATGACTTCTGGTGCTAGCATCGTCCAAACAGTGGGTCCTGGAAAAGATAAGTTATAAAGTAAAGAGCAGCAAACAGAATAACGTGGCTGCTAGCTGCAGTGTTCAAATCACAGGAGTCGAGACTGATCTGTCACACAAATCATTGGTCGTGACTGAACTTACATTACTTGGGAAGAAAAGATGAAATCCATGGAATCCCAAGGCTGACAGGACATTTTATTTCTCCATGACCATGACTTTCAGGATACTAACACATTTTTGGGATGGGAGCAAGAATCAGGTGCAGTAGTCATTGTGTCCAAGGGCAGAAAGACAGAGCAGCTGAAGAACAGGCAGACTCCAGGAGCAAAAGAGTATCTTCAATGGGCAGTTGAAATTTAGAATCAAAGAGATACATGAATCAAAGAAGTCATAGCTCGGGTGGATGCCCAATAGAGGTTTTAAGGAAAAAGATGGCACAATGCCACCAAAAGCCAAGACTAGAAGTCAGAACAAAGGAATAGGAGCCAAAGCCTGAAATTAGCTGCAGCCAAATTTAACACTGAACTACAAAGACCAAAAAATGGGACACAGGCTTCTGAGCCTGGTATGTTTCATCAGTTCTTTTAGCAATAGGAAGCCAGAGAACACAAAAAGATCTTTCCAGGATTCAAAAGTCATTAGCCCATTCTCTTCCATCAAAAAACTGAAAATAATGAAAAACAATTAACTTTGAAAAAGCTTGGCAACTCCTCATCACCTGGTAAAATACTGGGATAATTTCATCCCTGAAGAAGGAAGAAAAGCAGCCTTGGTGGCTGAATGATTACGTGATGACCTACAGGAATATTATGATACTTGACCATCTAAAACTATCAACAGTGATAGATAACTAAAATCTCACAATACTGAGCAGGCAGCATTGTTATTCCAGTTGTTGATATACTTGAAGCCTTCTTGTTGGAAAAGTTCAAGGTGTTGTGAGTTAGATGACAACAAGGACCAAGACTCTACTGCAACTGTTGTCAACTGCAGAGTCACTAAGGCTGAGCTGGTACTGAAATAACACCTGATAAGGTTATCTTCTTGCAGGCCCTTTCTGCATCTCTGCTCTGTCTTGGGCTTGTCATGACAGGAAAACAGTAACAAGCTCCAAAACACATGTACTTGCATACCAGAGGAAAATGATTATGAATATGAGAAGACTTGCAGTCTCAGCAAGTTGGAGAACATGTTTACTAAAAGCACAGACTTGTAGTGAAGCAAAATTAGAGACACTTTAAAGTAACAAAAGAGATCATCACAGTTACACCTAATAATAAAAATGTCCTTTGACTACTTCAAGTAGTTTCCACCTCTTTATCCTGGGTTAAGCTAGAATTTCACACGAATAACTTAAGACATAGCTCCTTCTACTGAGAATACTCCATATTCAGAGCACTGCAGCAACAACACTTAAACCAGCACAAGGAAAGGACAGCATAATGGAGAAATACATGACCACATATGAATGTATGGCAAGAAAGTTTCTCTCATCAACACCGTCAGCTTCAAGTGCTTGTGAAACCGCATTCTAAGGTTCTCTGTCTGGTATTCCCAAGGTATACCTTTATTAAATCCTTCCTGGCTTAAAGCTACTTCTCTTTATTATAGTCTTGAAAACAACACAGACATTGAATAATTCCCACAGTGTAAGACAAAGTTTTACAACCTTCTTCTTATCTATCAGCCTAGAAGGGAAGCCTCCACAAAGGACACTTTACAAACATCATATTAATACTGGTTTCTAGTGTTGAATACTACACAAGATCATTCAGACAAACCCAACTATCACAGAAGAGGTCCCCAGCATTGCTCAAAGGTTCACCTCTTCCCTAGTTTTGAACTTGTTAAGCAGTTGCAGAGAGACCACTGAATGCCTTGCAAGTATACCTGTCAGGCTTCTTATCTCCTCATGCTGTGAACGAGTCTCAGACGAGATCATGAGTTTGTTCTCACTTTTCTTGATGGCTATTATCATCCTGAGATCCAGTCTGGGAATCAATCAATTTCCTGAACAGGCTAAAAGACCTTAATGGCGAGCCAGTAAATACCCATTTTGTGAGGCCAAGCTCTGTTTCCCTCTGTCAGACTGGAAGTCAAGGAACACTTAGCACCAAACTAACTTAAATCAAACAACTATAAAACACATTGTCCAGTTTCTTGATGCACATTCTGTGGTGACTATACTTGCTACTGAGAAACATGAACCATTTTGCTTACTACTGAGGGGCTTGCACTCTCAGTTCTGAAGTCCCTTCTAAAAACAGTACCATCTGAATTCCCAATGCTATTACACTTTTCCCTTTTTTATCATCCCAAAGTTTTTATGTGTCCTGGAGCCTCAGAAGAGCCTCTTAACCAAATATAAGCATTTCCTGTACAAATCTTTCTCTTCTGTTAGCACACAGGATGATGCACGTATCACAGAGCAACAGGACCAACTTAAAACACTATGGGCCATATGGTAGTTTGTACTTCATTTACATTAGTTTATGGCATCACGAGGAAGTGAAATGCAGCAGCTGTGCAGTTATTTCTAAGTCCATCAGAAAAAGCCTGAGATGCATCTCAGCCCTGAGGCTGGGTGGGAGAGAAGGCTCTGAAGGACACCCTTACCTTCCCCAGGAAATGTTTGCGGTACAGCTTGGCTGTCGGGTCACTTTCCAGTTTCACTTTACCACTCCAGGGAAAGGGTGCATCAGACAGAGTTGGGCTCGAGCTGGAGAGGTTGTGGCTGGTCCCTTCAATCCAGTAGCCCCCAAACTGGGGTAAGATAATGAGAGGATATGGCCACCCTTTCTGTAATACCTATTCAGAAGGACAGAGAACATGAATGCTGACAGGCCAATAAGTCCAAGGAAAAACAGAGGAGAGCAGTACTAACTCACCTCGTGGATGCTGGGGTAAGGAATATACTCCTCTTCTGTCTGAAACCAGAAGAGACCATTAGTAAAAATGCAGGTCATCTTTTAAAGTGTTATGACTTCATGATGGTGCAAACTGTGCCCTCAGCTTCCACTGTGCCCTAGCTCATCTTCAGAGTTTTACTTTAGGATTTAAGGCTAGACTCCATTTTCCAGGTCTCAGCAATATAGAACTTTTGAGAACAATAAATTTAGGAATTGGATTTCACCCACCTTCCTCTTTGAAACTACACAGAATACAGGTGTACAAAATGAGGAGGTAGCCAAACTATAGGGAAATTGGATGAGGTTAGGAGTGAGAGCCATTCTCCTTTCTTTCCACACAGTGCTAGACAGCTGCTGCTCTTCTGCAGACAGAGATGACAGTAGGGATGGTAGAAATAGTACTATTATTGACAATAGGATCAAGGTTGTGTCATCTCCATAGCTAGACCTGAGGTATACAACTGAGCGGTCCTGAGGCATCACAGTAAGAACAGGAGCAGTATCTGAGCCACTTTATGCCAGTTTGATGCCCATTCCCTCACCACAAAGATCACTGACTATCTCTGTCAGAATTCAGCTGTATCAATTCTTTATGTGGCTTCTTTTTAAAGTCATTCCAAGATTAAATTCTATGTCAAGGTTGATTTTAAGGTTACTGTGCCTGAGTGGAGACTGAGGAAATGGAGATTTCAGACTTTGAAGTTGGGAATCTGTTCTTACTGGCCTAATATTGAGGGAAATGCAACAGTTTTCTAGTAGCATTTATAGGAGTCCTCAAGCAGACTACTGAAATAAACACAATGTGGTTTTAAAACTATTATTATAGCTTTTCAACTGAATAAATTTTAAGAAATTACTTATTCAAAGCTAAGATTGTTAATAATAGGAAACACCTCTTGGAACCACTTAAATTTGTAAAGGAAGTGTTGATTCTATGTCAGCTATATAGTTTCACCCTCTTGTGCAACAGCTTCACGGAAGAAGCAGAAAAGAAGGCAAGCACATATGCATTCTTGGGCTGTTTGTAGGCTCCCTGTTCACCTCAAGGTGAAAATACACTGCAAGCCAGGTCAGTAATTATTTGTCATTCTCAGCAGTTTAGGAGGCGACAACAACTTGGCCTGACCTTGAGAGGAGCTGGAAGGGAACATCTTTGCTCATCCAGACGACTTCCCTGGAAACATAAAAGTCACAGACAGTGAACCCTATGTTTTAGCATGTCTGCTTCACTTACCCTCGGTGTCCTTCTCCATATCTCCAATATAAGTAATTGTCTCTGTCCATGAACTTCTATTTTACACAAGTTTGGAATAAATATGAGGAGTAAAGCTAGAACTTGGCCAGTCCCTTAGTTTGGCATCAAAACTGGAAAGCTCCCCTCAGTTTACACCTCTTTAAAAGCAGAAAGCTTTTCTTTCAAGAAAGTGCTGTCATACTTCAGGAGCAGTTATTAATTCTTCTAGTGCAAGCCAGGTGACAAAACAAGCTAAATAAAAACCCCTTATCTCTTAACAATAGGCAGCTAAGAAATCAATCTAGATGCAAAATTAGGTGGTCTGCATTTGCTGGAAATTTACATCAGTTCCTTCAGTTACATCCCTAACTAAAGAAGTCCAAACCCAGTGAGACAGCTTTCATATAGAATCATAGAATCCTTGACTAGTTAGGGTTGGAAAGGACCTTAAGATCATCCAATTCCAACCCCCCTGCCATGGGCAGGGACACCTCACACTAAACCACGTTACCCAAGCCTCTGTCCAACCTGGTCTTGAACACTGCCAGCGATGGAGCATTCACAACTTCCAGTGCCTCACCACCCTTACAGAAAAGACCTTCTTCCTTATATCCAGTCTAAACTTCCCCTTTTTCAGTTTTAACCCATTACCCCTTGTCCTACCACTACAGTCCCTAGTGAAGAATTGTCCAGCATCCTTATGAGCCCCCTTCAGATACTGGAAGGCTGCTATGAGGTCTCCACGCAGCCTTCTCTTCTCCAGGCTGAACAGCCCCAACTTTCTCAGCCTGTCTTCATACGGGAGGTGCTCCAGTCCCCTGATCATCCTCATGGCCCTGGTAAGCTGGGAACTGATAAACACTGAGAATCTTAAGCAGCAGTCTTCCAGTAAGGGAAATCTGCTAGTGATTCTTCCTTATACAGATTCCAAAAGGCCTGGAAAGGATTGTCACACCTTTCAACATGCTCTTGAACTGAACAAGAAGCTCTGTATGCTGCAGGTCACTTTCTAGCAGAGTTAAATGAGCTAGCCATGCTTGTTATTCTAAAGTACTGAGAACATATCCCATAGTTTCAGTGTCAGTAGAGTGGATTCAAGGTCTGTATCTGTATACACATGAATATACAGAAGATACACCTTCAGACCCTCCCTCCCTCCTTTTCTAGTCTGTCAAATAACTCTATACATCAGCCCCATGACCCTATACTGAGTTATAAAATGCCCAGCATTTTGCTGCTACCTTCCACCTCCTCACCTTTGCAGTCCCACCAAAGTCTTGCATTGTCCTCATGCCCAAATTTTGATCACCCAAATTCCAGAAAATAAGTTAATTTTTTCTTATAAGTGTAATTCCTGCACATAATAAAAAGCAGGAGTTATGTGCCATGTTGCATGTTATGTTAGGTCAAAATTAACCACAGCATTTTAAAGAATGTTGTACCATCCAGAGAAAATCTTGGTAGTCTCCAAGCATGCTCTGTGAACAAATCATCTTTATTTACATATATAACACATTATTACATCACAATCTTTTTATTTGGTAGGCAGAGTTGGGGTTTTTTCCCCTTTTACTCTATTTTAATTTTGTAATGTAATATATGCAACTAAACGCATATATTTCTATGAGAGAATTAAGCCAGAGTCCTCCTGTCTTCTGCAAGTTAAAGATAGGGTCTGCAGTAGTTATTTATTAAACTGGTTGACCTTACTAAATACAGTTATGTTAACATCCCCTTAATCACCTGTCTTTAGCAGCTGACACCCAGCAGATATATAGTTTCAAGGCAAAGATGCCAGAGATACCTTAATGCAGCTTTGATTTTCTCTCCGAATCACACTTCTGCAAAGGACACAACTATAACAATTTGTGTCTATTGCTTCCACCGTGATGGCTGGAGAAATGAGCACATGAAAAAGCTTCTGAAACCCCATTCAAGAGTAGGTACAGAAGCCTGGGCCTAGAAGAGCTAAATATTCTGCAAGCCCAAATTAAAGGGTATTGGGTCTGAAGCGGCAAGACAAATAGGAGCTGATTATTCAGTTGGCTATGAAAACAAAATCAAGAGATCCCAAAGTCTGACGGAATAACTTCTCCTTACCTGCATTTTTTCAATCATCTCAAACAAGTCCACAGTCTGTGAAAAGGAAAAGACAACAGGGAAAACAATTTGAACAGTTGTAGAAGCTAGCATCAGCTTCTGTGGTAACCCACTAGAAGGTTAGTGAAGGATCCAACAGCTCTTTCCATGTTTTGGCACAGAAAGTACCTGCTCACTGAAGACAAGATTAAATCATTCTTCCTTAACAGATAGCATGGACAATAGAAGTGGCCAAATAGTCTTCAGCTTGATTGCAAAAGTTTGACCTGGAACCTGACTGGACACATATCAGGAATTTCTCTCTTTCAATGGGTCAGCCTACCAACTTGATACAGCATAGCATAAGAAGTGATTAAATGAACAAGTTTAGGATTCTTACAGAAGTGGGCAACTGTAGCTATAACACAGAGAATCACAGAATCAGCGAGGTTGGAGAAGACCTTTAAGCTCATCCAGTCCAACCTCTACCCCAGAACCACCAAGCCCACCACTAACCCATGGCACTGAGGGTGTGTGAACACTTCCAGGGATGGTGACTCCACCACTGCCCTGGCAGCCTGTTCCAGTGCCTGACTATGTGTATGTACATGAGCTTGCTTTAGTCACTTCTTCTGCTCAGTGGATCAAGGCACATCCCAACCCTGAGCCACAGGAACATGGGCTGCCTTTACCTTGTTGGGGTCAGCAGGAGTGAGAGCACATGGAAAGCCTTGGGTGAGAGAGTCTATAACATCAGTGAAGCAGCGCACCCCCTTCTCAGGCCTCCTGCAAGAGAGAGGCAGAACGGGTAGAGGGGAACAAGAAAGAACTTCCAACTCTTGGAGAACTCAAGATGCCGGTGCTTGCCTGCATTGCCTCCTTTGCCTTCTGCTTACTCTTCCTCTACCCAGACCATTGCTTGTCTATGAGGAAGCTGTCATTCCCTGAGAGATTCCCAAAGCTGTCTTAATTTACCACTTGCCACCTGCAAACACCGTGGATATAACAGCAACAATCTTCCCACCCTGACAGTTCTGTCTCTGTTCACATGTGCTATTTTCCTCACAACTGCCATGTAAGTGATGAATGATCTTTTTTCGCCAAGTTCCTCCTCTACTATAGATTTGCAGCAGAATTAAAGTTAGGTCTCACATAAAGCTTTGGAATCAGATCTCAAAACTGAACCCTAATAAAGAGCTGAAAGTTCTGAAACATCTGAATATGAGCAGATGAAGAACAGCCCCAGTTGTCACCACCTGGGTATTAGTCTCCAAGGCAGAAGCATAACAGGGATGGTGCTAGAACAGAACCGATACATCCTGCAGGAGAGATGCAGACACAGTTCTGTGTTTCCAGTGCTGGTAACGCCAGCATGCCCAGGCTTTTGTCTGCACATCTTCTATTGAAGACTTATTTTGGCCCCTGCGGGAGCAGCAGCATACACAAATAGCAGCAGCATGTGTTTGATTTCATAGAAGAGAAAACAAAAATGTAACTCAAACAGTGGTTTAAAAGACATATATTGCATTGCCCATTGCACCATGGACAGTCTCACTGCTGCAGCTCTATTACTGTTAGTTAATAAATGTTCCACACTATTCATAGTTTTTACCAGCAGTCACAACTGGGGTTTAAGTCATCATGAAGATCACACAGGTGGAGCTTGGAATAAAAAAGCAAGTTCCTAATATAAGAGACAAGACTCCACTTTGTAATGCAAGCATGAATACGGTTGTTATGTGATCATATAATGCAGTGATGAACTGCTATCCTCTAGCTGTTAGATGCATGACTCCTACTGCATCCTACTGCAGTTTCTTCCGCACTAAGGAATTGGTATTTATAAGTCATGCAGACTCTTGCTTTGAAACCAGTGGCTACATTCCCTGTTGTATGGAAATATAACACATTTCTGCAATCAGGAAGCTACACTCTATTACAAGTTCCATCTACATTTTCTATGCCCACTAATTTTCTGACAATTCACAACTTATTCTAGTAGCCCAAAGGCATCTGTAACTTGCATATAGGCTGATAGACACTAAATAACACAATGCTTCCATCCCATTATTTTCTCCTGAAATTCAAATGACAGAGATCTGTCATTTAGACAGAAGCAATGCATTTAGACATTAAAGCCATAATGTATATAGGAAGGAAGATGTAGGAGTGAGTCTTGATATCCTCAAATAAATATTGGAACAGTTAGATGGCAAGTTTATTCTAAATTAAAATTATACCAACACATACTTTATTTATCACCCTAGTCGTTTACTTGAAGTATGTTTGGGACTGATAAAATTGATGCCCAAGGCAGTACATGAAATATTTTACTGTTTCTTTTAGAAACATGAAGTTTCTGTTCTGTCAGCCCTGGAAAGGGTAAGAGCTTAATTTGATAAGCTCTAATTTTCAGAAACTAGCCAACTCCAAAGAAGTATAATAGTAGAACTTCAGTGCAACTGGATACCCCTGGGCCTTGTTCCATGCTATAGTGCTTTTCTTTGGCATGGCATTGGTTTCAATCCCGAATCATTCAGTAAAGAGAGGAATGCACATGTGCATCGTGGAAATTTGGCAGCTCCTACATGAGGTCACTGTGGTCAGTCCTGCCCTTGTTCTCTCATCATAAATTCATCCCCACACTTTGGACTGACCTGAGCTCTCAATGCAGCAACTGCTCCTGACCAGTCAATCCTGGTACAGTTCTATTGTCAAACAGATACCAAAGAGATGCCAACAGATGCCAAAATCACTGGTCTTACCATACATGTAGAGATGCTCTCAATTCTGTAATGATCCCAGATTAGAAATGTGCTGAGGGACTTTAAAAGTCCAGGAAAATTACTTAGATTTTATGTTACCTTATTTCAAAATACTACAATTATTTGCTGTCATTGTAACTATTGCTTCAAAGCCCATTTTGTGAATTTGGAACTTTTGGAATGAAAAGCACTAAGCTTTTTTTTATAGAAAGAACAGAATGTCATCCTTCTGGAAAAGGAAAGCAAATTGCAGGCCGAGACAGGAACATGTACATGTGAATCTACACTTGCTGAAGCTTAATTTTTAGGAAATGGCAACAAAGGGGAGCAGAAGACCAGGATTTTACTAGAGGCAGGTAGCGGTCCATTAATTTCAAGCAGGTAGCCAAACTAAAAACAGGCACCGCTGATCCACTGCTAAAGACCCCACTCTCAATTCTGACGTGCAAGAATCCCTTTTGCAGACTTTGAAGCCACTGCCTCCACACACGCAACTCTGCTCATGCCCTGTATTCCTGTATTGCAGCATCCTCTGCTATTTCAATCCTGGGATCTTTCTATACAGCTCCCTCAAAATAATCCCCATCTGCTACAGCTGAGCCAGTTCAATAACCAAGTCAATGCTATTATTTATTCTGTGAGAAATACAAATCGGCCTTGACAGACTTCACGCATCCCTTCATCCATCTTTCTTAAGTTTCCCAGGTGTAAAGGGGATGTGCTGCACTCTGAACAGACCAGTTCCCAAATCATCAGGTAACTGTTTTCCTCACAGATCACAAGGAAACAGGTGTACAGCTATTGTAAAAACCTTTGCCAATCTGGAAGCTTTCCAGCAGGAAAAACAATACAGCACGATTTTCAGCTAATTATGATGATGATTTCAGCTAACAACAGTCAGTACAATAACTGGTGTCCCAGCCTGAGAAGTGATTCTTGCAATAAGACACTAATACGTGTTTTTAATTACTCAATGCTCGCACACAAACCCCTAAAACTCAAAAGAATCAATTCCATTCCATTTCTGCCTACAGCCTCTGACCTCCCGTTAGGAACCTCACTTCCAGCCGCACCAGTACCTACCCTCCGCAGGCTCCGGCAGGGAAGCCGTGCTCCCGGGAAGACATGCCGGGCTGCTCCGCTGAGTCAGCTCCCCGGTTCCCTCCTCGGGAGCCTCCTCTCCTCCTGCCTCGCCATGGAGAAGGGCACAGGCTCCCTCCCGGCTCCCGGCACAGCCCCGGCTCCGCACCCCTCCTCTTCCTCTCAAGCCGCGCTTCAAAGGAGAGGAAGCAAAAAGCACCTAAAGCCGGGACCGGGCCCCAGCCACGCCAGCGGCACGGGGGAACGGCGAGAGGAGGGGGAAGAAGATGAGGCAGCGGAGGATGGGGTGATGACTTCCCCCCCCTCCCCGCTGCGGAAGAGCAGTTCCCCTACATCCTTTATGGGCTACCCATGAATGGTCACAACCTGCAGGAGCGCACTGCTGGGACAGCCGAGCCGAAGAAGCTGTCTTCCGGGGAGTCAGTGATGGTAACACAAGCAGTGTTGGACAAGGACAGCAGAGGGTTCCCCCATTCAACTCTCATGTAGAGTAAGATCTCTTCCCCAGAGTGGGAAAAGTGAGCAGCAAGGCAATCCTCCACAACTTCCGATTCCTTTCAAGGGAAGACTAACAGGATACCAAACCCACTAGCCCTTGGTATGTGGAGCTGATGCATATCAGGTACTAGAGATTTAGCTTTCCATTCAAATAGCTCTCTGATCTAACATGTAAGCTGTTCTCTAGGGCAGCTCAAATTTTGAGGGGTCAGAAGCATGTATTTTTGTTCACACATCAAAAACTGAGAGTAAGATCACGATTTTCCATTGCAACAATACATACGCTTGCGTTCAAACAAGAAAACAGCTCCTCTAGACACACTTTTTCCCCCTGTAACTCCAAATTTCATTCTACAGGATGATGTAATGTCTCCTCTTCACATCAGGACCTCTAAAGGCAGCAGCTACAACCTTTTGCCAAGTGTCCGCCTCACACTGGGTTTGTTCTAACTCTTGAAGGGGGCAGTAGGAAATGGGAGACAGGATTTGACAGAGGAACCAGGTCTTTCCATTTCCTCTTGTCTACATTCCCCCAGCCCCAGCAACTCCAATGATGGAGTAGGGGCTAACTAATACAGCCCATCGCCTTGCTCCAACCCAGATACCTCCCAGATGGGTCCAGAGCACTGAATACAACAGCTGCTTTCTGCACAGGCAGTTCCTACTCATTCACCTGGATCTCTGAGCGGAGATGTGAGTGGACCAAGGCAAAGAGCCAAGCTTGCCACTTCTGCTGCATCCAGCAAAGAGGAAGAGACATTATTTTCTGCTGTTAGGGAGGGCTGCCAGCAGTAACTACTGCCCTCCCCCATCCCAGGGTCATTATCAGCAGCAATAGCAAGCCTGGCCGTGGAGAAAGCAAACTATACAGAGGTTGTTCTGCCATTCTTCGGCAGCTTGCCACTATAGACAAGAGCCAACTTTGTTTCCGTACTAAACAACACTGGGCTCAGCTTTCATTTAACCGTCTCACAGCTTTACCTAACCTCCTGTGCGATTCCCGTTGGGTACAAAGCACTGAAGACTCACAAGCAAACCAGCACAGTTATTAAATACCCTAATTACTGCTCTGATCAGTCTCCTTTAGAAATAAACATATGAATAAATCACTGCCGCCTGTAAGCAAATCATAGGCCCCCTTTTTGCTTACTTATAATAAAGCTAACGATTGTCACTACTCACATAGCTGATGCAACAATATCACCTTAAAAAGACTTTAATTGCACTAAGCAGATTCAGTTCCTGTTGATACTTGCATTCTTATATGACTCATTCAGCGTACTTGCAGTCCTGTGTTGTAATCCATATATTTGTCTGTATTTGCATAGATCATTATGCATTTTATAGTTACTGTGTGGTTTAGGGACTGTCACACAAGTTTCTGTTCTTTCGGGTTATCTTTGTAGGTATGTTAATATATGGATTACAGTAATTGGTATCTATACCTTTTGCTGTTTTTGTGGGTTTTTTAAACAGAGTTTTACCATTCTCACAAATGCAGTAGCATTTTCTCTTGCTCACATAGGAAAAGTTTGTATCAACTGCAACACAAAAACTGATCTCTGCAATTTCATGAAGTCATTATGAGAACATCAGAAGGTCCACAGAAACTGTGCAATACCACAGAAACACAGCAGCATATCCTTCAAGGGTAAGCGCTTCAGGGCAGAAAGTGTATTTTTGTGTGCTTTACTGTAATATTACACTCTGTCACCACAAACTCATAGATGCACACACACAAACATACGTGTTTTCACATCAGCTGCTTCCACAGATATACGCACACAGCTTCTAAATATAGTACCGAGCATGCAGAGACAGCACCTCCCACTGCTCATTTGCACCCATCATTTTATGTCAAGGGTTGACAGAATCAGGGTGGGATTTCTTTGAACAGACCTTCATTCATGTCCTCTCCCCCCCCCCCTTTCTCCAGTTTGTCTCATTTCCTACACTGACATCTGCTCTCCCCACCTCCACTCTCTGCAACTGCTTGTCTACATAACGCAGTATAGCACAATGTCTTTTAAAAACCATACAGCCACTTTCCTGCTCAGGCTGAAACTGCCCCAAAGTCAATCCATTACACAATGTCACACGAGCAGAAGAGATCTGAATCAGCCTTCTTTCCCCCCCGCCCCCCTGCTATCTTTGCTCCCGTTCCCTCTAGATGCAAAACATATTTAATTGGCATTGCAGGCAAGATGAGAATAAAACCAGCTAAGCTGTTCATCCCCTACCTGAGCAAGGCTCTCTCATCCCCAGCTGGTGAGCAGATGGAGACGGGGAACCCAGCTGCTCTCCTTTCCTTGCACTATCAATTATTCACGTAGGTTGCAGTGTCCTCCCTCTCCCTCCCTCCCTTTCTCTTCCGCTGCCCCCACCTGCAGATGAATGGAGGTCGGTGCTGTCATACTTGAAACTAGAGATCATTGTCGATGAAGAGCAGCCTGTGGAGCAGCTCTGCTTCTATGCAGAGAAGATTGGCCCTGGCAGAAGGGGCCAGACCGGCAGCTCCATAGGTGGAGCATGGGCAGCCCTGTGCATCTATATCCTGCTCCCTGCACTGTTAGTCCCAGAACTGCAGGGATGACCTTTATAAAGGAGAGGTGTTTTGGTGGCTTTGGCTGGTTGGTTTGGTTTTGGTTATTTTATTTCATTGTTGTTTTGTTTTTCTCCATAGCAAAGAGCAATTTTTCAGTCCTCTCAAGTATATAATGAGAGTTATTTGGTGGCAGTGAGCTGGGTCATGGAGATTCACGTGTGTGGATCAGAGTATGAAGGGAAAGCAGCAGACTGAAAATACATGAGAAATGCTTCCTTAGTACTGACTTACTACCATAGCAGAGGCACTCAAAGAGGATAATCTGAGCGGGCAGGTTATTACATTACTTTCTGCAACGCTTTTGGTAATCCTGTGTCATGAGACTGACCTGTGGATTGGAATGACTGTTAGTCACAATTTTTGTAGGTAATTAAAGATCCTATGCGGTACAAGTCTTAGGCAATGGTAAAATGAGTTCTGGCAGACGTAGCTGAAGGCATTTAAAGCATTTTGCCTTTGTCGAGGGCTGCTACCTACAACTGTGTGAATGCTTCAGATCTGTCTCAGAGCAAAATTAGTTTTCATTCTTAGGCCAAACCACTCTATTTTGCACTGGAGTAACTCATTCTGGTCCCATCAGCCTGCTGGGGGGATCTCTGAGTAGGTCATGTCAACCAACACTGATTCCTTCTGTTAATTCTTCCAATGACCATAGCCATTGCAGAGGCACCACTGAGATACACACACACAAGAACCCATATCAGCGTACTCAGACAATAGGTCATCATTGGCTTTTCTGCCCTATTTAACTTCTCCCATCCTTTGAAAAAAATATCTGCATTAATTTTACCAGAAGTCATGAATTTTCCTGAAATTACATTAAAAAATGAAGTACCTAATAAAAAACGTTGGTATTGTAACCTCAGTTGTGAGTCAGACAACTCTTAAAAAGAGGGCACTGTAATTGTATCTGCAATTGTTTTAATTGTGTTCTCTTCAAAAACTTCATGGCTCAAGATTTGTCAGCCCTTTCGCCACAGTTATGCAGGCTGGAAATGCTTTATTTTAATAAAGAAAAGGTAAGCACTTTGGCATTGAAACCAAAAGTGAATTTCCCTGGATTTGCTTTGTATAAGAGCTCTAAGAGCTCTGAGTCTCCTGGAGCACTCACAAGACCCTTCTGTTGCACTGACTTTTTGATGAGGTTCACTTTGCAACCTTTCCCTCTTTTGAGACATTTACAGGTATTTTATTTCCCACTGGACCATTTTTATTAAGTTTTCAGGAACCTTTTCTCTGAGATAAGAGAACAATTTATCTTTGAGGTCATTATCAAAGCAATCATTATCAAAATACAACTTGGAGAAATTGCTCAAATGAACAAATGAAGACTTTGATCCCCTAATTTTAGTAGAAGATAATTATTCCAAAGGTTACTGAGGAATAATGGTGTACAGATGCACGTACACAGACTGTCTAAGATAAGTTTTGTCTCCAGAAAAGCAGGCTAAGAACAAAGTATGGTAAAACTCAATAATGTAAGAAAATTGGTATTGTAAATATTAGAAAAGCAGTTTTTGTTTGGCTTTTCAGTAAACAACAGATTATCAGTACCTGTATATCTACCTGCAGATACAGAAGCATAAATGTATGCATTTCATTCTGGATAATATTAGATACATACTTGACTCCTCATGTGACTGTTCTGGCATTTTACAATTTTAAATCGGTGTTATCATAACCTGATTAATAAAATTATAACATCCTGCCATTTCTACAAGCCTTTAAATCACACTTAGATTATAAACTGACTGGGGCTTCATGTTTTGTCTATAAAGAATCTAGAAGAAATTGTTTCCATGTTTCCTTAACACCTTCATTTGCAGATGTCACAATACATTATTGATATTACCACTATTCTACATATGGATAAACTGGCACAGACAGGCCGTCACTGTTACCCAGGGCCAGAAAGAGAAAACAGCTCAGGGTCTGTCAAAACAGTAGCATAAACAGCTTGAGACACCTGCAGACTACACTGACACCAAAACAATTCCACTCGGATCAGCCTGCTGATCCAGGTGACATCCTGATAGTCAGGTGCAATGAACTAGTGTTCATTGAACTGGTGTTCAGTGAACTAGTGCTAGTGTTGGTGCAATGAAG